CCGCAGTTATGATAATGACAGTACGCACAGCGACAAAATCGTGAAAGAAATTGTATTTTTTAATATAAATATGGGCTACTGGTTATATTATGACAGTTCTGTTTTTTATCAAACAGTTCTCGTGTAGTTCTGGACCTGAACATGTACAATTCTCTTCCAAAAAGTTCTGATAATGGAAATAATTTAAAAAATTTTTAAACAATTATTTTATCCGAAAAACTCATATTTTCGAATAAAAATTTAAGTTGCAGATTGTATTACGACAGTTCTGTTTTTTATTAAAAAGTTCTCGTGTAGTTTTGGGCATGTACAATGCTCTTCCAAAGAATTTTGATAATGGAAATAACTTCAAAATTTTTTAAACAAATATTTTATCGGACCATCAAATACAAATTTAAAATTTTGCATGCTTGTACATGTACAATGTATTTGGCTCATTCGCAAACATAGTTTATTGGAATTATGAAAATGTCAAAGAGATAGGGAAACTCAAGATATTATTAAAAACTTTCGAAATCTTCGGAGGATATATGTATAAATCTTGTACAAGATGCTAAATTGGTAAAATAAAAAATTTCCAAGTTATAACTAAGAAAATAACATATCTTGGGATGAATTCATTAATAAGTTCGAATTTTTATGCGAATAAGATGCGATCCGTAACGCGCAATATCACGATATACTAAAATTTGTATCAATCACGGTATACATAGTTTGAAATCTACAATTTTTTTAAATCAACATTTTTTTATAAATCGAATACTTTTGTAAATCAATACAATTAATTTTTCTTGATTAAGACTATTATAATGAAAATTTTCTTTAATTTAAAACTAATTAATATTAAAGTGTACATATTATAATAAAAGTGTGAATATTAAAGAGACAGTGTAGAAATTTCGCACTTTAGATTATATTGTAAGACAAAAATATATCAATAATATAATTTGCACTTCAATACTATTGTATGTTTAATTTAAACATATATTTACTATATTTTGGTATCCTTATTGCTTGTTAATTGATCTTACAATTAGCAATATTTATGAATATTTAGGAATTTTTTCATATTCAATAATAGAATTTAAAAAATATGCTTTATACAATTTATTAAAAAAATTTATTATTCTTTGATTATCCAGACAATCAGTTTGTACGTGCTGATGGAAGCAACAGTGATAATAACGAAAACAATAAGATTATCTGTAACAAACTCCCCTGATGTAAATCAGAACAAACTCGCAGGTATTATACACTCTACTATTTCAGTACAATTACGTTATTTTAGTTAAGCAAGTCTCTATATAACTACAATAATTACAACTATAACACTGATACCGGCATTCAAATTCAAAAAGATGGTCATCTTAATTATGTGGACACTGATCAGGTCTTGAAAGTATCACACACACTGTATGTGGCTATAATTACACTAACAAGCAATAGTATAATAATAACAGTGGGGAGAAAATCGTTACTTCTAGAAATTCAGATCTGTTGCTCGATGTCTAGAAATACTCGAAATAATATTTCTAAAGAAATATTATTTTGAAATAATATTTATTATGAGTAGAATTTTGATAGTGAGTTTGAACATGAAAAATCAGAAGAATTAAATGCATTTTTGAATGCAATCACATTGAGACATAAACTCGATTCCTGAGTCAACAATGTTTAATTCTTCTTGCAATAATTTTTATGTTTTGCGCTTATATAGATTTTTATTGTTATTTTTTATATCGATGTAGTCCTTGTGTATAAGAAAAAAATCTTGATTACATGCGCGAAGCGAAGTTATATTATTCTTTGATAAAACCTTTTGATAAAACAATGTAACGCATGTATAAATTACTATTGCAATGCATGCATAAAAATATATTTATTAATTATGTGGTTCATATAAATTCATTATATAAATTTTTAACAGATGACAAAAAAATAGAATTTTCTACAAGAATCTTTTGATTCAAAATATCTACACTTTCATTAGATTCGCGCGTCTGTGCGCGTCCGCTACGCTGCACGGCTTGTGCCAAACTGACCACGTGATCATCAGTTTCGTACTCGCGATATCTCGCACGAGAATCAGTTCCGCGTGAAATGCGCACCGTGACGGATGTGTGGGATGTGGGCCCGCAAAACTCTGAACAGTAACGGTGTTGCCATCTAACGGCGAAACCTCCCATACGGCACAGGACCTTGCAGCAATATTGCAGCAATATTGCAATCTTGCATATTGCAATATAATATTGCAGCAATATTGCAATCTGAAATATTGCAATGCAATATTTCAGCAACATTGCTGAAATATGAATATAGAACATTGCTATAATAATGTGGTAATAATGTTGCAGCAATATTAAAAATATACTGTTATAATTTTATAAATAGTAAAAATAATATGTATTTTTTGTTCTTACATGATTAAGATACTTTAATGCAATTTAAGTAAATTTTTAGTTTTTATTAGGTTTATAAAAAATTATTATATATCATATGTTGTGCACGTGTACATATACGTGTATATTATATACGCAGATTATTATATATGAATATATAACGTGTTATATATTAACATATTTCGTATATAAAATTTTTATATAATTTGGTTTTTTTATTGCAATATATAATAAGAATAAATTTAAATGTTGCGTATATTTTATTTTATGTAACTCATATATATACATAAATATTAAATTCTGAAATATTCTCTTTTATACTGCATGTAATATATATTTACAAACACGCACATTCTAACAATCTATGAGATATATATATCTCAGATTTAATTAGAATGTAAAAATACTACTTATAGGTCTGTTCGCGTTGACTGAACTCGCTGCATTAGTTCAGAAGTTGTCTTTTTTGCTCGACATTGTTGGAAGGAAAAAGATAACTTCTGAACTAGTGCAGCAAGTTCAGTCAACGCAATCTTACGTCAATACAAAGCATTATAATACATATATATATACATATATTATATTGCAATATTGTTGCACTATTGCATTGTAATATTGCTGCAGTATTGTATTGTAATATTGCTGCAGTATTGTATTGTAATATTGCTACAAGCGGACATTTTACCGTTGCTGCAATATTGCTGCAATGTTGCAGCAACATTTTGCAACATTGCTGCAATGTTGCAAGTTTGCAAATAAATATTGCAGCAACATTGCAGCAATATTTCTGTGCCGTATGGGCTAACTTTACAGCCAAGAATAAACCGGGCCCGACTAAAGCAACTCTCTCTTTCCATTCTTTTCATCAGATTAATACATCCCACACGTCTGTCATGCTGCGCGGCTCGCGCGAGACTGATTTTCGTTTTTCGTGCGGAGTATCGCGAGCGCGGGACCGATGGTCACATGACCAGTGGGCACATGACCAGTAGTCACATGACCAGTGGGTCTACTAGTCACGTGATCTCGGTCTCACGCTCGCGATACTCGCACGAGGCACGAGAATCAGTTTCGCGCGAACCGCGCAGCGTGATGGATATGGGGTATGGAGTTTCGCGCGAATCTAATAAAAGCGTAGATAAGTATTTGATCACAAAAGATTCTTGTAGAAAATTATATTTCTTTGTTCGTTATTTCTGTTAAATATTTAAATATTGAATTTTTATGCGTTGCATAATTAATATATTTTTATGCATTGATTGCAATAATAATTTTTGCATGCATGCGTCGCAATTTTTGAGATTTATTATCAAAGAATAATACAACTTCACTTTGCGTGCGTAATTATATTCAGTTAGATTAAATGAAATGATATACATATATGTATATACATATATATGCTACATAAATTTAGTATTTATAAGCAGATTTGTTATTACAGTAGAAAATTACAAATAAATATAATTGTGTCATAAATCAAACTCAATTTTGTTATCAAGTTTAATTATGAGAGCAAATTATTGTTAGTATAGTAAACTGATAGTAGAATACTAATACCAATTTGAGAAATACAATTCAATAACTTTCATTAACAAATAATGCAAGTATAAATGATGCTACAGTATATTACATTAAACAGTTATATTTTAATTTTATGTTTTGTTATATATTTTATATTTTAATTTTAATTCTCAAATGTTAATTTTTTATTACGTAGGTACATAATTTTAATTTGCTGAATTTTAATTATGCATATAATTTTAATTTCTGAATTTTTGTTATGTATCAGACAATACAAACATGCGTTTCGCGCACATTATTGATATTATTTTTATTTTTTATTTTACAATTATCAAACTATTAACCTTTATAATGGTAGTTGTTTAATGCTATTAATATAATACACAATGTTAATCAAGACAACCCCAATTAGCATTGCGGAAAAGCAGTAACATTATTTGAGGTAATCGACTTTGCATGTCTTTTTTAGAAAGAAATTCATTACTTTATAAAAATACTACAATAATGATATTTAGCGTATGAATGAATTGTCGAATAAATAATAATCATATAATTAATGTCTCAATGTCGAATAATAATTGTGCCTTTTAAATTTTTACTTTCAAGATATATCAAAAAATAAAATTTTTAGTTATACAATTCCACAATTCGAATAGTAATAATTTAATTTATTAGCAAGAATACATTCTATCATTATTCAAGTGTATGAGTGATTATAATAAGGAAAAAAAATTACATAAATAATTTATAATGTGCGTGTAAAAAAAATTGATAAATTGTATGAATATAGTATTTTCATTGCATTGAATATCGATAAGTTCTTAAAGATAGCGTCGTATTTATATAACCGTAGATCAAATTTGTTTAAACTTGTATTACAAAAAGAGATCATTATTTTGTTAGAAAAAGACATATAAAAAAAGGACCATATATATAATTATTTATATATAAATTAAATAATCTCAACGTATATATACTTACTTGTTTATACTATTGCTTGTATATTCGAATATCATATCTAATCGAATATTCATATCAATTTAAAATGACAATAACAAAAAAGTAACAATAAATGAATATCTTAGGTAACATAAAAAAACTGTTTTCTCCCTACTTTTATATTTTAAAGTGTTGTGCTGTTTGCCTTTAATTGTAAGATTATGCGCTATTCGAAGTATAATATATGAAAGAAAAACGAGAAAATATGTTCTTGTCTATCTGTAAAAAGATCACTGGATATCTGTTCTATCATAATCTTTATCATACTCTGCACTCCAAGTCCATCCGAATCATTGAACCAGTAGTCTAGAGGAATTTCTATAAAAATACGAATTTATTGAGTGTCACATTTTACGATGCAGTAAATATATGGAATGTTGCGTGGGCGGACTTAAATCTTTAGTTTCGTTTATTTGCGAATAATCTCTGCGAGCGATTGTCGCGAGGCACCGCGTTCTGCGTCGGATTGTCCTTTCCGATCGGCTCCGGAGTTGTGGGCTGCTTGGCGATCCACTCCAGGGCACGTTGAATCGCTGGTGGGATGGGCGGCGGGGTGGGAAGATGGGAGCCGGCGATCTGGGTACCGAATTCATCGGCGGTCCAGCTTATGGAGATAGGGGTTCCATCCGGCGCGTTGTACTGCACGGAGCCCTGGATCAGCTGAGACTCGTCTTCGGTGCCGGCGTATTTGCGACTGCCAGTCTCTTGTTGGACGATTCCGCCCGCCGTTTCGTAGGCGAAGGAATAGTGTCCGCGGGTGTCACCGAGATCGCGTGAATAGCTCAAAATCCTCTCGGGCTCAGGGGAGAATTGACCGTGAACCAATCCAAGAAGGGCTATTAACAACTGAAAAATTTAAAGGTAAAGTTATCTCTTTTTTCACATTCGTCAAATCTTGAAATTGTTACATCCATTTATATATATATATATATATATTTATGTATCTGCCGTTTATTGAAATTTATATTGAAGGAGAAATTTCAAAATAAGCGACTATTATTTGTGGATTGATATGTGTTTAAATGTCACGTCGATAATTGATCGATAATTTTTTTTTAAATTTATATATTCATGCTTTATATTGAAATCTAAAATATCTCATAGTGCTTGATTTATTCGCGAGAATAATGCGTGCGCGATAGTTTGCATAATGGGCCGGTGATTAATAATTCATCATAAATATCGAGTTAATTACATCACCCACCCTAATGGCTATAACGTCGTTTCTGGAATTTAATGGGACGGCAATGACACCGGGCGTCCTTCTCGTAACGAACTCTCGCTTTATCGACTAAATACATTGACTTCGCATGACAAACATTTACGATCGCACTAAATTTGCTTTCATAGACTTTGCAGACTATTAAAAATATTAAAAATATAAGCCGCATTATCGCGCGAATATCTTAATGGACAGATTTAGCGTGTGGTAATCAAGACGATGATGTCTAGGCAGGAGTAATCCATCGAAAGGTTGAAATCGTCTGATTGCATGTTTCTATCGCTGGAGAAGGATGTTTAACGGTCGATATGGCACCAAAACGTGAAGAACTGACTACGCGCTTTGTTAATCCTCGTCTGTCCTATAAAGTGACGCCGGAGAGATACCTTTCCCCGCGAAAGGTCAGCGCAAGATGAATGTGTTGGTAGATATGGTAGGTAGGTCACGGTATATTCATTGCGATCGGTAAGAGAAACGGGAGGGCATCGCACGCTAATGGCACCGTATTACGTTACAATCGCTTCGCGAACGTGACTTTTTCTTATAACCATAGTCTCCAATTAGCATCCAAGACCGATTCGTTTTGTGCCTGTTTAACAGGTGCGCTTGTTGTCACCGTTCACCGTGCAACACCCGACCAATCACATTCGACGTAAATAAACGTATTCTCTTTGATGAAAGAGACAGCAAGAAAGAGAGAAAAATGAGTTTTAAGAAACATTAATATTAATATAATTATAATTTAAATTTAAGTAAAAAAAAAATAGATGGAAATAGTAATTTCTTGCTTTATTTTATGTAGAAATAAAGTATTGTACTCTCTTTTTCGAGAATCTTTGTTTTCAAAACTTTTAACACTTGAATCTCTCTTAATTAATATTTTAACATTATATTCTTTCACAATCTACCTGTTTTATCTGCTATTTTAAAATGTATTCTTTGTGATAACACTATTGATTAATAATAATGTTATTACTAGATATTGAGCAAATTTTGGGGATAGGCGGGACCAGTTTGTTTTTTTTTTATACTTTTTTTATGCGAGAAAAATCAAACGTTTAGAAAAATATATGTATGTAAATTAATGGTTTAGAGCTTGTTGACTATAGTGGACCATGGCTATCCTATATGCAAAGCGCGCGACAATGTTACTGTTATGTAGCTTTATAATTTAATGAAGTTATGTAATTTAATAGATTATGTAATATTGTAATGGTCGTTTTGTACCGCGTGACTTTCATGCGATGACGAATAGCCCTACTATGTAACATTAAATCATGCACGATCGTTTATGAATATGTACAGATAACCAATTTCAATTTCGTAATTTTGAGAAATCAATGATCGGATTGTTTATTGTTATGGAAATTTAATGTACGACTAATATGGAGATATATGTGGAAATTCAATACGTATTCTATTTTCAGGAATTTTCGCAAGAAAATTTATGCCCGAGTTTTATCGACATTTTTATCAGGATGATTTATCATAACTGCGTAACCGTAAAATAAAGAAATAGATGACATTAATAAATAATTTTTAAATAATAAAATTTATATATTAGTTGATAACATCAATTTAAAATTGCACACGCTAATGTAAAAGCAGTTAATCTATTTTATTTATATTGCTTAAGCTTAATATAATGCTTAATCTTACACCAAAAAACATGTAATAAAATATATAAGTATAAATAAAATATATATTATATATATTATATCTATAATTTATGTGTATTTCTTCTGTCCTAGATACATGAAGCTCGTAAACTTAAAAGTACAATGGCACATCATACTTTATCTGCGTTACACGTAAAAGCTTCTTCCACAAAATAGTTTCCCTTATAAAATTATAACTTATGTTTATATACATATATATATATATATATATATATATATATATATATACTGCACAAAAGTTATCCTTATATGAGTAGCTGACAAAACACTTTTGTTAAACTTTTTTGCATAAAATATATATATATATATTTTTTTTTTAATATCCAAGAATACAAGATAAACTTAAATAAAACAAATTTTAATTAATGTGATTTTACGTTTTAACATTTGCATTATTTATATATAAAAATATTATTGAATCTTTGATTTTCTCTTACTTTTTCTTATACTCTTCCTACATAACTTATGAATTATTTCTACATAATTAATTTTTTATTCATAAAACAAACCCCTTGTTTGTCAGTAATTACTGTAAAATAAATTCTATTCCATTAGCTCGTATAAGATTGAAAGAAGAGCGCACTTACCAGGGTAAGCATGTTGTCGGACGAGAGAGTCGCGCGTTTTACGATGCACGTGGGCCGAGAAAGCAAAGCGCCTCGAGAGGAGTACAGACGCTTTTTAAACGAAGTACTTAATATTGATAAAAGTACAATAAGGACAAACAAACGCGACGGGCAGCGTCACACGTAGAGGGTCGCGCTTGCCTCTCTCGATGATCGTCGGCGTGGAGTTCGCGAGCAACTCTTGGATCGTTGGAGGCAGAGCCGACCTTTATACCGGCGGACTCCACGAAGCGGAGGCGCCGGTCTTTACATAACCCGGGAAAGTTTATTTCGGCGTGGCCGCTGCCCTGAGAGAACCTCGGAATCGGGAGCACCGTCGCCCGAGCGTCGTCATCCCCGCTCGTGTCATCTTAGTGACACCTTCGCGGTCGTCTTCTCCAGCTGCCACCTGCGACGCCGCATCGCGTACATTCGCGCACCGGGATTTTCCTCCGAGATTCGAAGAGTCGAGACGAGGTCGATGTCGGCTCGTGCAGTTTTCGCGCTTACGTAACGAGACGAGACATGAGGCAAACGACGGTTCCCTTGCGCAACCTGCGAAGGCGACTTCTCTTTTTTGATCGCTGCAGTGGACTCCGGAGATCGTGTTTTGATGCCTGCACATGCGTCGATGAAGAGTCAAAGATGACTCTTCGAGAGAAACCATATGCAGACCTCGTTTCTCTCTCGTGACGTTTCGATGATCAATATTAGAGATTTTAATTGATGCAGTGAGAGTCGAGATTTAATAATATGAACACGTATAATGAATATAATATGTACCTTTGACTGAGAGACATGTCCTGATGCTAAAAGGCGATGATGACTTTATCTTTAATCGTTAACAATTTTATGCGCAAATATCGTAACATACTTGTAAACGTATACATTTATATACTCCGTGTAATATGCAAAAATTCGTGTGTTTATGCATTAGTGATTTTGCGTGTACAAATTAGCATAATTTAATGGACAGCGATTTCATCAATGTTTTATGATCTTGTTTGATTCGAAATAATTAGTTGCAGCGTCTAGTTGTAGCCATGGTTGAAGTAAGTATTTACGAAATACAAACTTGCATAGTTTTGTATCACATATTCTAAAAGATTCTATGAAGAAATTTTCTACAAAGAGACTGGAGAAATGTGGTCACGCGAAAATTCTTGTGCGATATGAGGTTTCAGAAATATCTGAGAAACTCGGAAAAACAAACTTATTTTTACATTAAATGACGTAAGACAGCATTCCGTTGCTCTACGAAAACTAAATGTCGTGACCTTTATTATCATATAAATTTTTAAATGAATAATCGCAAATTTTGGAATGGAGATTTTTATTTTACAATTTAAGTCAGACGTGCGGATGCATTTGCGCAAAGAAGATAATAATTAAAATTATTTGACAAGAAGTTATATAAACATCTATGTGGATTTTAATATCAAATGTAAATGAACGCGTATAATATTTCACTGTGAAAGGTGCGAGTATCTCGCAGGAATCTCGCAGGTTCTGCGATTCTAAAAATTGGAATATCTCCATCGATCAGTATGGAAATAAATTGAGTAACGATTAGTTCTAATGATCGACCCTGACCATCGTGAAACCCATCCTCGTGTCGTTGTTTACGTCATCGTTCATAATTTCTAATTTCACGTGTATATTATGGTAGAGATTTTTTATCCAACTCGACGAACTTGACGCATATTTTGAGCGAGAATTGCTCAAATTATAATCACGCAACTCGTATTTGCGCTGATATATTTCCCTCTTTGCAATAGAGAGAAAAAGATTACATTTGATTGTACGTACCTGTTACTTAACAGAGGATAATGACACCAAGTCTTAAGCACCGGTTACCCAGTCTTCCGTGGGAATTGTGAGCATAATTGCTGCCAAGTTGGTCCTTGGCCCAGTGATCTTACCGCTATATTATGTACGTACTCGCGTAAATGCATGCACGTAAATGAGAGAGTATTACAAGATAATCAATATATTGTATTTATCGCAAAAAGAGAGAGAGAGAAAATGTGAAAGGAAACGGAATCTTTTCAATCGTTTTAAACAGGATGTGAGCCTTCCGAATAATTATGAATATAACTGATTGTGAGTCATTCAAGATATCGCTTAATTTTCCTTTTTTTATGTATATGTAACTAATGTAGCTTGTAAACTTTCGAAGAATAAATTTCTTTTTCTATAATGAGAATTTTGTATACAATTTTATTTATTTTTTTGTTAGAGATCGTCCTTCTCTGATTGGATTACGATCTCGAGTGCGTTCGGTAATGACATCTTGCTGTCATTACGCCGTTAGGTGTCGCTATCTTTTGGGAACGGGACGTTCCCCTCTTCTTTTTTGTTTCACTAACGTTGTTACTGTCTGTACCCCGCGACTCGCGTGTGACTGTCTCGTAATTCTTTTCTATTCTTTCTTGTATCTTTGAGCCAGAGTAACAATTAAATAATCTTACTTGAGACTGAAACGCATTCGTTCTCTCGATTAAGTTGAGTACCTGTCCTACTGTCCCTCTCAACAGGTTATGGGCCCAGGACACACGACTTACGTACGCGATTAGTGTGATCGAAGTGGACATTTTTTCTTTTTTTGTGTCTTCGTCCAAGCAACGTTACAATCCGGCAGAAATGATGAGCTCTACCCACGTTTCGCGATTTGAACCTCTTAATCGCGAAAATTACGACACGTGGAGGATTCATATGGAGGCGCTACTCATCAGAAACGACGAATGGGATTACGTGAACGGGACCTGCGTCAAACCCGAGCCCATCGAAAATAACGCCGAAAGAACCACCGCCATTGCAGCCTGGAACAAAGGCGACAGCAAAGCCAGGTCCGACATCGTCTTGTCAATCAGTGCATCGGAACTAAAACCGATCAAAGGATGCAGTACATCGCGAGAGGTCTGGTGTAAGCTACAATCCATATATCTATCTAAGGGACCGGCGAGGAAGGCGACTCTCCTAAAACAACTCATGTTACATCGAATGGAAGAGGGCGACGACGTGCGCGAACACATCGCGAAATTCTTCGACGCGGTCGATAAGTTAGGAGACATGGAGGTAAACGTAAACCCGGATGTGCTCGCGATCGCGCTGCTGTATAGTTTACCATCGAGTTACGAAAACTTCCGTGTCGCGATCGAGTCGCGCGACGAGTTACCCGACCCCGAGTCCCTCCGCATAAAAATCGTCGAGGAGCACGATGCTCATCGTAACGAACGTTCCGCGTCTAGTGCAATGTACATTAACAAAAAGAATCCGTTTTCGAAGAATCAACAAAGTGCGAAATCCGACAGCTCCGGAAACGACAAAGCACAATCTAAGAGGAAAAAGAGGTTACGATGCAATAAGTGCAAGATGTTCGGACATAAATCCCTGGAGTGCCGCAACAAGAGCGTCGCAAGCAACGAACCTACCAAAACGAGCGATCAGGTATCATTATGCGTGAGCCAGGCATTACTCGTTAGATCCGCGGGACGCGAGCAAAAGTGGTGTTTGGACAGCGGTGCTACTTCGCATCTGTGTAACGATTCCGCGTCTTTTTCGAGCATCGATCCTTCGAAACGCGGAAAACTTAACCTCGCAAATAACGAGTCCACTCAAATAGTCGCCGAGGGCATCGCGAGTTTAAAGGCGGACGTGTTCGGTACCACCGCGGACGTATCGTTGAAAAACGTCTTGTACGTCCCCGATTTGCGCACAAATCTTTTGTCTGTGGGAAAGATTACAGAACGAGGTTTCAAGGTCGTGTTCGACAAGAGCAGCGCCACCGTTCTAGATCGCGACGGAAAACTAAAAATCGTCGCGGACAAAATCGACGGACTGTACTTCGTGCGCGAGGGGTCGAGACCCGCGCGTGCTAAACCCGAAGAGGAGGTATCTCTAGCGGCTACATCTAAATCGAACGTCTCGTGGCACCGACGTCTCGGACACCTCAACGCATCAGATCTTCGTGAAGCCGAGCGTAACGGAACCGTACACGGCATAACCCGAAAGGACCTAGGAGACGACGTCGAATGCGATGTGTGCGCAAAATCCAAAATGTGTCGAAGCCCCTTTCCTAAGAAATCAACGCGCGAATCAGAACTACTCGACTTAATTCATTCGGACGTGTGCGGCCCCATGCGCGTCGCATCCATCGGCGGAGCGAAATATTATGTCGAGTTTATTGACGACCATTCGCGCTGGTGCGAAGTACGTTTTCTTAAGACAAAAGACGAAGTGTTCAAGGCAACAATGGAATACATCGCTCTCGTCGAAAATCAAAGGAACCGAAAAATTAAATGCCTACAAACCGATAACGGCGGGGAATATCGGAGCAATAAACTCGAAGATTTTCTGAAATCACGCGGGATCGCGAGACGTTTCTCCGTGGCTTACAATCCGCAGCAAAACGGCGTCGCGGAACGTAAGAATCGTACCTTACTCGACACAGCGCGATGTCTCCTTATTCAGGCGGGTCTACCACCCCGTTTTTGGGCCGAGGCGGTAAACGCGGCGAATTATATTAGAAACCGTTGTCCGACGAAGAGTCTCAACGGCAAAACCCCTCACGAAATTTGGACCGGAAAAATTCCCGACGTCGGCCATCTTCGCGATTTCGGTAACCGCGTATTTTGCCTTGACACTAGACCCGACAAATCGAAGCTGGAACCTCGCGGCAAAGAGGGCATCCTAGTAGGCTTCTCTGAAGAATCCAAGGGCTACAGAGTCTGGCTGCCACAGGAGAAAACGGTTGTAATATCTAGAGACGTCAAGTTCTGCAACACGTCTCGTTCAGAAGCCGGCAAATTTCAAGAATTCCTACCGGAAGATTGCGACTTGAATCAACCCGCCGACAAGAACGAACTCGGACAGGATTACGTCGAAGTGACGCTGGACCCTCATATTGATAATATCAACGAGAATGGAGAACCAGCGGAGGATGACGAAGATCCGCCTGACATAGACGAGAATATTCCCAACGCAGAACTGCCAGCCATGAGACGAGGACCGGGAAGACCGAGGATCGTCAGAACCGGACAGCGCGGTCGGCCAAGAAAAGCATACAACGAGGTGGTGCAGCACGCTGATCTGGATTTGATGGAAAGCGCACTGGTCTCCGAAGTACCAATACGGCACGCGCTAGCGGGTGCCGACTCAGAACAGTGGTTCGAGGCCATGTCACAAGAGATTCAATCGATCATCAAAAACGACACTTGGGAGCTGGTCAATCGTCCGGAGGGCGCTCAAATTATAGGAAGCAGAATGGTCTTGCGTAACAAATTCGGACCCGACGGTCACTTGGAGCGGAGAAAGGCTCGGCTTGTAGCGCAAGGATTTGCGCAGAGACCGGGAATCCATTTTACGGATACCTTCGCACCCGTTGCCCGTCTAAGTTCTATCCGTTTGATTTCAGCTTTGGCCGCAAATTACAAGATGACCATAAAACAATTTGACGTAACCACCGCCTATCTCAACGGAGAACTAGAGGAGAAGATTTTGATGGAACCTCCGAATCAACTAAAAAACATCTTAAACGCTATAATCAAGACCGAAGGAGATCACGCAATTAAAATGAAGGCGGAGAACATGCTGAACAAGCTGATCCAAGGCGACAAAGTGTGTCTTCTCAAAAAGTCTATTTATGGGCTACGTCAGGCCGGAAGACGATGGCACGAAAAGCTCCGCGAAGTCTTACTCAGTTTCGGAGCTACGGCATCCAACGGCGACCCGTGCCTATATTACAAAGGGCAAGGGGAAGATACCATCCTGATCGCTGTCTACGTCGACGATCTCCTCGTCGCTTCAAAGGATCCGAAGTCGATTGCAGAATTAGGACAAGTACTCTCCAGTCGCTTCGACATTAAAGATCTCGGATCTGTGAAACACTGCCTGGGAGTGAAGTTTACTCAGGAAGAAAACCGGCTGACACTGAATCAGCGCGGATACATAATGGATCTCCTGAGACGTTTTAACATGACTGACGCCAAACCAGTCAGCACTCCCATGGACATCAACAAGAAATTAACCAAGGAGCCTGAACCGTCCGAGCTTGACGAGGACGTTCCCTACAGAGAACTGGTGGGATGTCTTACGTATTTAGCAATAACAACTCGACCAGACATAAGCTTCGCGGCGAGTTGTCTGGGACAATTCAATAACTCTTACAACCATACCCATTGGATCGCAGCAAAAAGGGTACTCAGGTATCTGAAGGGAACTCTAGACCTTGGCCTGAGCTACACAACCGGAACCGGAACGCTGAAGGGATTCGTCGACTCCGACTGGGGAAATTGCAGCGACGATCGGCGATCTTACTCCGGATTCATATTTTTGCTAGGTGGCTGTCCAATATCCTGGGATTCACGGAAACAGAGGACCGTAGCCTTATCCTCCACCGAGGCAGAGTACATGGGACTCACCGAAGGAGCCAAGGAATCGATCTATTGGACGGCTTTTCTCAAGGAGTTGGGTTTCGGCCACCTGGCCGATACAATCATCTACAGCGATAACTACGGGGCCCTTAGGCTTGCTGACAATCCAGTATTTCATGCTCGTAGTAAACACATTGCAATACGACACCACTTCATCCGAGAGACACTGACAAATAAGCAACTTCGTATCGATCATGTCTCTACCGACGACAACGTGGCCGACATGTTCACTAAGAGCCTCCCCAGACCTAAATTGGAGAAGTGCATACAACTGTCTGGAATGCTGGATGTCAAAAACTAACCATTGACGGTCGTACGCTCTCGTATCGAGGGGAAGTGTTAGAGATCGTCCTTCTCTGATTGGATTACGATCTCGAGTGCGTTCGGTAATGACATCTTGCTGTCATTACGCCGTTAGGTGTCGCTATCTTTTGGGAACGGGACGTTCCCCTCTTCTTTTTGTTTCACTAACGTTGTTACTGTCTGTACCCCGCGACTCGCGTGTGACTGTCTCGTAATTCTTTTCTATTCTTTCTTGTATCTTTGAGCCAGAGTAACAATTAAATAATCTTACTTGAGACTGAAACGCATTCGTTCTCTCGATTAAGTTGAGTACCTGTCCTACTGTCCCTCTCAACATTTTTAAACATTGTTATAATAGTTATTATAAGTAAATATTAGTTATAAGTAAATCATAATATTTATCTTATAAAAATTATTGCATAAAAAGTTTATATGATAATTAGAAATGAAAGGTAAATTTTTATTTAGACTAAAGTTAAAAATTTCATATGTTTTATTTTCTCTTGTCAATAGAACTTAAATTATATTATTGTAATATTTATATTTTATATCTTTTTTTAATATCGTGCTGGAAGATACTTTAATTAAAAAATTAATCAGAAGAAATTTTTTTAATCTAAATAATTTTTACAACTCTATAGGTGTTTAGAAGCGTCTTTTTACTATCGCATTTTTTAATTATAAGACTACAAAAACTGGAAAAATAAAAAATAGAAAATAAAATAAAGATTAAAATAAAATAATTTTCTGCTTGCGGAAAAGTGCAATTGAAAGATAGAAATAAACGATAGAAATAAATCTCTGTGTTTGTCTCCTGCAGAAACTTTAATCATCGCAGTAGATCCAGTTGCTATTCGCCAGGCAAACGATAACGTTTTACTTGTTGCGTATATTCAAGACAAGACCAATTTGCAATCACTCTCTCTCGGATGATTAAGAAATAAATTTTTGTTGAAGGATATCTTTCTATAAATAATTAAATAATTTTTCTAATTATTTTATTCTATAATCTTTATTTTATTTTATTTTTAATTTTATTCCACTTTTTATAATCTTATAATTAAATGCGATAGTAAAACGACGCTTCTAAACACCTATAGAGTTATAAAAATTATTTAGATTAATTGTATTTAAAAGAACTGTTCAAAAGAATTATTTGTACATATAGCATTCTGTAGAACTTTTATTCTAAATAAAGTAGAATAATTACTATACATAATTACATTATTATGCATTATATATATGAAAATATTCCATTATATTTGTCAGATTTTAAATTCAATTTTCTTTATTTTTTATTTCTTTATATATTTTCTAAATTCAAATTTAGTTGTTTTCTGATATGTTACACAGATGTGATATTACCTTTAAAATCTCTTATTAAAAACAAAAATACTAGATTTTGAATTATATGTACGTACGCATTTAGCTCATTCGCTTTGTATGATTCATTAAAATGACACAATTGACAAGAGAAATAAAATCCTAAGATATTAAAATTAATGGAATTTTTGGATGAAGGATATATAAAACCTGTACAAGATGTTAGGTTGTAATAAAAATTTTCCAAATTATTATTATTCTTTTTGTGGATAAACTTGCGCTTCTCGAGTAATATGTACAAATAATTTGATTTTATATTACACAAACATATCCAATAACATGTTATTACAATAAAATTGCTTCTACAAATAAGCAAGATATCTAGATATTTCAAAGGTATAAAACTGCATTAAAAATATTTGAGATGTGACTGAATATCACACTAGTCGTAATAAATATCTATTATTGTTATTCTTTTTTAATTAGTGGTACTTTAAAAAAAGAACTGATTGTATTAATAATATAAATCCCAGTAAGAAATGATTGGTCGAATCGTTATCGATTCGACGAATTTGACATCGATTCGACAACGAATCGACGTCGATTCGATCATCATTTCTCACTGGGATGACAACACATCGCAATACATAAACATGTTTGTACCTCATATTAATTATATCTGTCTATGCTTTTACATATTTATAATTTTACTTGCGATAAATGAATTGCATAATCTGTTTTAAAGCAGTTCTCAAAATACGAAATTGCAATCATATTACACCTGTCGTTATTATTAGACTTAGGTACAAAGCTATTTTCCTTTCTTTTTCAATGACAGGATTTGTTTGATGATTCTAATAATTATAATGATTCATTTTGTTCTGTTGAATTCTAATCTATTGATTCCAGGTTTATAAAGTTGCCAAGGAGATCAGGTTTTACATATGTGTGCGTTTGCCTATATAATTAAAATTTATTGTAAGGATGAATATAACAAAAAAAATGAAGAAGTCTAAGATATTTTTCAATATATTGGAATTTTCAGAGGTGTCGGATATATAAAGCTTGCACAAGATGTTGAAGACAGCACAGTGAGAAACTTTTTAGCAGCAGCAGCTAGTAATATATACTATTTTCTAACATGAATTTATTGGTAAGTGAATTTCTGTGAATTTGTGCAAAAATGTTATGTGATGCAGTAATAGGAGATCCGTGTACATAAATAAGCGATATATTGTCATAAATAAATCATACATTGTCTCTGTTTTACTTGAAAAATATCTTCTGAAAATCTAGAATTTCTAATCGTTAATTATACATATGTAAACAAATTAATATTTTATTAATTTAGTAAATAATTTAACAAATTATAATTACTATTTTTTTAATTACTATTAAAATTTTTATATAATTAGTGTGTATGTACAGCACGCAAAAATTTATTGCAATGCCCTTTATCAGATTATACGTCGAAAAGACGAAGATATATTATATTGATAATAAATTATTCTTTATTACTGTACACATTACAATTTAATTTATTGTTAGACACATTTTGCACAGAGATATATTTTAGTTAGTGCAAAGATAGTCAGTGTCCCTATAGTATAAATTGTTAATCAATCTTGACAGTACAAGCATATTTATGATTTTTCCTATTCTAAAACAGAATCAAATTTATGATTTAAAGAACTGATTCTTTGTTTTTCAGATAATCATTTTCTGTGTTCTAATAAAAACGATGATGATATTAGCGGCAGACAGATTATCAGCAAAGTCAACCACTAATATACAGCAGTATGTTGCGTTCGACCCAACTCCTCCACCAACAACACATCGTTATACAACTTCTTTTTCACCAACAACACGTCGTTATACTACATTACGTGGCCCAAGATCAATCAAGTCTCTTTACAACTACAACTATAATACTGATACCGGTATCCAGGCGCAGGAAGAGGGTCATTTCAATAATGTAGGCTCTGATCAAGAGAACCTGGAAGCGCAAGGCAGCTACACTGACAATAAGGGCAATACCTTCGAGGTTTCATATATAGCCAATGAGAACGGATTTCAGCCAGAGGGTGCTCACTTGCCCACAATACCACCATTAATTAAGAAAGCTTTTCAATACATCGCCGAACATCCTGAAAAGAATACAGAATAAGGACACTGGGACAGAAATATGAATGAAATAGGTAAATCGCAAGCAAACTTTGATAAGATGATAGATTAGACAAAATCTTAATAGAGTTGATCGCAATAACTTTGAAGCTTGACAGATATTCGATCCCTATAGAACAGATATTTCCAATTCGAGGATTGGGCTATTCGCGTCGAAAGTATTTTTATATTTGTATAATATTATTAATAAATTTTATATAAAATTTGCACATAATATTATTAATTTATTTATATTCACATAATATTATTAATTTATTTATATTCATATAATATTATTAATTTATTTATATTCACATAATATTATTAATTTATTTATATTATCGGTAAATACACATAAATATTGCAATCATATATCAACAATTGGATAATATTCGATTAATCATTTTTAATTATTCACAAATTTTCTTTTAATTTATCTCAAGCAATTACTGCGTATAAATGCGCTTTTCATATATATAACATTATTTAACATTAATTACATGTAGTTATTATGGTTCTCACCTAAAATTTGTGCATTTTAATTATTTTATTCCTTTACACATTTATTGTGTAATTGCTGCAATTTTTGACTGTAATTATCAATGTAAATGCATATGTTATTTTTTCTTATCTCAATAATAGGATTTAAAATTTTGTAGCCTTGTTGGATCCTAATAGGCGAATATACATTTCTTTATTAAATTCAAGTTTAGCCGACTTTCAATGATTTTACGCGTATAAATTTGATTTTAGGTTTAAAAGTCAAGGAGATCAGATTTTATGTGTGTACATGCGTGTTTGTAAATTTATCTATAAATATAGTTACATTATTGTAATGATAAGCATAATAAAAAAATAAAGAACCTAAGATATTTTAAAAAGTGTTGAAATCTTCAGATGTGTCGGATATAAATAGCTGCACAAGATGTTAAAGTCAGTGCAGTGAGAAACTTTTAAACGGCTATCAGCTGGTTACCGTTTTAAATATGAACTTATTGGTGAGTGAGTTTTTATGAATTTCTATATAAGAGATATTATGTGACGCAGTGGCAATATTTATACACATGCAATCAAATTTTTTTGTAATTCCAATATTATTATGAATTATCACAAGTAATATCTTTCAGTAAAGATTGTTTTTAATTTAAAATTAATCGATATCAATATGCAAAAATGAAATGTTTACGCCAAATTATATAATTGATATACAATATTAACACATTATAGATTTAAATTGTTTAATTAAATAATAAAATATAGAAAACAAATTAAAAAAATATATATATAAGTACTTACAATAAATATTCTAAAATACATAAATAAATCAAATGTTCTTATAAATAAATCATATATTGTCTGTTTTACTTGAAAAAATTCTTCTGAAAATCTGGAGCTAGTTGAATCTCTCTAATCATTAATTAATACATATGTAGACGAATTAAAAATAATGTAATTTAACAAATTATAATTACACATTAATTATACATGTAAAAATATAATTAGTGTATATGTACATTACGCAAAAAAGTAATATTACAATGCGTTTATCAGATTATATGCCGAAAAGACGAAGAGATATATTATACTGATAAATTATTCTTTATTACTGTATACATTATAATTTAATTTAGAAACATTAAATTTACACTACAAAGATATTTTAGTTAGATAAGATAGTTAGTATTCCTATAGTATAAATTGTTAAACAATCTTGACAGTATAAGCATATTTGTGAATGTTTTCCTATTCTAAAATAGAATTATGTAAAATCAAATTGATGATTTAAAGAACTTTACAATTCTTTATTTTCCAGATAATTACTTTGTGCGTTCTAATAAAAACGATGATGATATTAGCGATAGACAGATTATCAGCAAAGTCAACCACTAATATACATCAGTATGTTGCGTTTACCTATACAACTCCTATTCCTACTACGCCAACAACACGTCGTTATCACCCTACTATATTACATTACCCAAGATCAACCAATTCTCTTTACAACTACACGTATAATATTGATACCAGTATCGAGGCGCAGGAAGAGGGTCATTTCAATAATGTAGGCTCTAATCAAGAGATCCTGGAAGCGCAAGGAAGCTACAACTACAGTGACAATAAGGGCAATACCTTCGAGGTTTCATATATAGCCAATGAGAACGGATTTCAGCCAGAGGGTGCTCACTTGCCCACAACACCACCATTACCACCATTAATTAAGAAAGCCCTTCAATACATTGTCGAACATCCCGAGAAAGATGGAGAATTAGGACATAATAAAAATATAAATAAAATCGGCAAATTGCAAACAAGTTTCGACACGAAGACAGATCAGGAAAAATCTAACCGATTCGATCACGATCGCTTTAGAGTTTGACAGATATTCGATCCTTCCAGACATTGTCAATTTGAGAGAGAGAATTGGGCAATTCACGTTGAGATTATTTTTATATATTTATAATATTATCAATTTTATATAATATGTATACACAATGTAATGAATTTTATATCATCAATAAAGGCACACTATAAATCTTAAATAAATGTATTAATATTTGATAATATTCAATAATTTCCTTCTTTTCAAAAAATTCTATTCAAACAATTACTACATGTGAATGCTTTAGGAAAAAGCGGTGAACTATCGTGTCGCTTCTTACGATCAGGTACGCGTTTTTATAAACTCTTATGGTTCAACGTGCTCGTTTTGGTCATTTCTCTTTTAGCATAATCCATATATTTGTAAAGCTTCATCCCCGGAGGTGTTTGCCGTATAGGCGGCAGGAAACAGAGCCCTCGTGATAAACCATAAAATTAAAAAAAAAAACTATACGATTCTTTGTTCTTCAGATAATCACTTTGTGCATTCTGTTAAAAACCACGGTGATATTAGTGGCAAGAAGAGCATTCACCTATGCTACATCAACCACTAATAGATTTAAGATACTAACCTTCCCTCCGTATTTCCTACTTCTCTTTACAGCTGTAAGTATAACATTCATACTGGCATCAGGCGCATGAAAATGATTACTTCTCTCATATAGATACTGATAGAGAGCTCTGAACGTGCGAGATAGCTACACTGGCACAATAATATATACGTTCAAGGTCTTATATATAGCCAGTAAGGCCGGATTTCAGGGTGCTCACTTGCCCACATTAATTAGTGGTACCACCACTAATTAATAAGAAGGCTTTTTAGTACATCGTCGAACATTCTGAGAAAAAAATGGAATGAGGACACCGGACATAATAAAAACATGAGTAAAATCGGCAAATCGCAGACCAGCTTTGACAAGAAGATAGATCAAGAAAAATTTAAGGGATTCGATCGCGATAGCTTTAGAGTTTGACAGATATTCTATTCCTATATACAGACATTTTCAATTTGAGAACTGGACGAATCACGTCGAAATTATTTTTATTTTTATAATATTATCAATATATAATATTTGCATACAATATCATTAATTGTATGTTATTGATAAAGACACACTGTAAATCTTGCAAAATAAACGTATCAATATTTGATAATATTCAATAATTTCTTTTCAAAACATTCTTTTCAAACATATTACTGCATGTGAATGAGTGGTTATCACATTATAACATTATTTAACAATTTTAATAGTTTTATATCTAATTATTTTATATGCTTCTCACATAAAATAAATAAGTGCATTTTATATTTATATTAGTTCCTATAAATAAATAAATTTAGATTTCTTTATAAAATTCAAGTATAATCGACTTTTTGATTTTACGCATATAGATTTGATTTCAAGTTTAAAAGTTTGCCAAGAATGTGATAAATACAGGTTTTGTATACGTGTGCGTGCATGAGCATTCAGCAAACATAATTTATTGCTTAATAAGAATGCATGATACAAGGAGAAAGGAAAGCCTAATGTATTTAAAAATATTCCATAATCCTTGGACATATAAACAATATATATAAAGTCTGTACGAGATGTTTATTCAGTGTAGTAAGAGATTTCGAAGTAATAACTTCAAAATAATAAAAAATAGTATATCTATTCTCAACATGAATCCATTGGTGAGTTCAAATTTTGATAAAAAAAATTACGTAATGCATTGTTAGAACGTACTTGTATATGCAATCATAAATTTACAATAGTTTATTTTTCTAAATCGATTGTTTTCAATCGCCACAATTTTTTTGGTTAAACAATCATAGAAAATTTTATTTGATTTAAAATTGTAATTATAATAATATTAAAATATAAAAAATTAAAAAATTAAATATAGTTACGTTAAACTCTATTATCTTTATATAATATATTTATTATTTATATATAAAACTATCTATAAGTATATTCACAAATCTTTTTTCTTATTCTACATATAAAATTTAAATTAAATTTACAATATAAGATTCATATAATCTATAAATATATCTTTATTTTTCCAGGCTATCTCTTTGTGCATTTTAATGCAAGCAGTACTGATAGCCAAAACGGACCAATTACCTGACAATACTGTAAATTTCAATAAACATTTTAAGATTAGAGGTATTACTACTAACAATACATTTACTACTACAGAATCGTTATATGATTATCATCAACCAAGCAACAAGCATATTTACAGTAACAATGATTCTGGTATTCAAACTCAAGAGATAACGGTCATCTCAATCATACGAACAGCAATGTAACCAACGAGAACGGATTCTAGCTGGAAGGGTTTTAGTTACCTACAGGACCACTAATTAAGAAAACTCTTTACTACATTGCTAAACATCCCAAAGAGAACGGGGAACAATAAGAAAACTGTACTGGAAAGATGAATATTAATTAGTGATCAGCCTGAACAAAATAAAAGATCAAGACAATTTGTATTCGATCGCGATTAAGATATTGAGATATGATATATGATGAGATATTTAATATCTAAAACCAATTGCGCAATCTTAAGATTCGGTTCTTTTCTTGTGACTATTTTTGTATTTATACTGCATTCATATAAATTTTTATTTTTTTGTACGACATTTCTTGTAAGAAAAAATCTTGATAATATATAATTAAATATCATTGATTTAAACATACATACACACACACACACACACACACACACATATTGTTCAATTGATATTTATTCAAGGTGATGATAAATGATAATGTCTGTTTCTTAAATTATTTAATTACTTTATAACGAACCGCTTACGATACTTTTAATAAGAAGAACGTTAATGATACAATAAAGCGTCAAAAAGCTATAAAGTTGCAGAAAGTTAGCGTTACATAAATTTCTTCATGCGTGAACGCTGTTTTTTCTTTTTTAAAAACTTTTTGTGATTTTATGATTATTTTATAAAGAAATTGTTATTGCATTATGAAGTAATTAATTACAAAAGAAATTGTACAAATATATTACCAATCTGCGTTTTATCATAAATTTATATCAAAGAACTGGATTTACAAAAACTTAAAAATAATTTGTTTATAAAAATTTGAGTTCAATTAATTTAATTTGAATTAATTTAAACAACATTCTTTTGGATTAGAATGATTTAATTGTTAAGTTTTACATCGTTTATTTAAAAAATCTTTTTATATCTATGGTGTATATAAAACCTTTTAATAATGGATAAAGTTTGTGTTATTCAATGAATCAAATGATCATTAATTATGTTGCTTAATCGGCATTAAGAAATCCTAGAGACACAAAAATGATCTCATTTTTACATTAGATTCTATGCTATCTATAAACTTCATAAATCTCTTTTAGTCTATACTTTTTATGAAAAAAATAAACAATGTGATAACTGTGTGTTTAACTGTGGCTAGATAAATGTTTTAAAATGGATTTAAAAGTGACCTTGTACCGAGAAGAAAAAGAACGAGACTGTCAATCATTTACATTAAAAATTGTTCGATTGTATTAGTATAGTGATATGATATCATTCTCAAGTGCAGAACTTCAGATATCGCATGTTTCCGCAGTCTCAATTGTAAGGTGAAGTAAAATACAATTCTCTTGAAATATTAAGTGTTATTATTTATATGCAAGAATTAACGGCATAGCTTTCCATATTTAAACCCAATATTTTAAATCAAATTTAGATGGAACGAATAAATATAAATGAATATCAATTAACAAACCCGAAGAGGCGTATACTTAATAATAAAATTAATTTATAAAAAAAAAATTTTATAAACTTTTATAATTTTTGTATATTAATTATCAATAATGACTCTACTGATATTTATTCGCTTAATTTTGATTCTGCCTTATGATGTCAATGGTAATTAACATCTGTTCATACAATGGTCCATTAATTTGAAATTTCTGTATCAATTTTTCTCTCTATAATGATTAGTAAATATTGTAATTATCATCGATGTTATCTTAATTTTTATATTTCTCTTTTATTAACACATATTTCTCGTTATTTCTTTACATTCCAGCATAATCCAAGTAAATCTCTAAACTATCTCTGTCGCTCTTAATCTATACATTCTTTCTCTTTCTAATCATATGATTGAGCGTACATTGATACCTCCTCCTACTCGCTAAATACTCATCGATGCGCCTGCTACATGAGAGAAGTGGACACACATCCAGAAGGGGATATCACTGGTTCCAGCTAGAACCGGTCGAATGTGCGAGTCATACATACAATTCACACAAGCTTGGAGTCTCTCTCCTTTTTTCTCAACTATATACACACGTCACGAGTACGGCGCTGACGTCGCAGTGTGCGGTAATAAATGTGTGTCGCGTGTGCGTGATGCTCGTGCGTGTGCGTCACGATTCGCGGGTGATCACCACGCACGGGCGCACATACGAATCTGGATCGTCGTGAAACGCGAGTTGACGACGACGGTGTCGTGGATGCTGCTTCGCAGTTTGAAGATCATTTCGCGCTCGGTCGGAGAAAAAAAAAGAGATAAGGAAGGAAAGAAGGAAAAAAAATAGTGAAAGTGCATAGAGAACAAATACGCGATCTTTTTACGTCGATAATACACGTGTGCATATAGTGAACACATGTGCGTGTATATATGTATGTGTGTGCATATGTGTGTTTATGTGCGTATCGGTCTCGTTATCACTTGAATGATACGCGGATGAGTTTTGCTCGATTCGTTGAGACTCGCCCGATTTGCTCGAGACACGCCGTGATCTGACAGGTAACATATGACACGTGACGCGCATGGAAGTGTCATTGAATGTGACGTTTACCCGCGACGACGTGCTCCGAAAAGCGCGCGCGTTCCGATCGATCGATCGATCGTTCGAGCAGCCCTGATTGTTCTTTCCTGTTAATCGAAAAACAAATGCTTTCTGTAATGAGCTTGCGCAGTGATGCTGAGTTTTACAAAATGTTCCATCATGCGCCTTAAATTGATATTTGCTCGACCTCTTAGATAGCCCTCTTAGTACAGTCATGTATCGTGTTTGTAAAGTTAACACAGATGTACATATATCTATCAAAAAATAATGTATTGCTCCTTATGAGTATTACAAGTATTTTTCTAACGTTTGTCGAGACGTCGATTATTAATGATGTGTCGCGAAAAGAACTTTGTAAATTAATGCTGAAGATGGAATATTAATTTGTAAAAAAATATAGGTACAATATATTTCACATGACAATTATTCAAAGTAACAAATTGTATGAAAATTGTTTGAACATCGTAAAACGTGTGCAAATAGCGTTGAGCATAGGAATTTTGTAACAAATATTGAATTGATAGTCGTACACACCTGTGATGACGTTTATCTCCAGCTATCAGAAGAGTTGTAAAAAAAGTCGTAAAGTCGTGCAACGTGATAGATCTATTTGTACGCGTATTGAGCACGTGATCTTTTTCGTCATTGAGACAAAAGAAAGTTGTCTTAGCAAATTTGAATTATTTGAGTTAATAGAAAAAAATTGTAATACAATGATCAAATGAAAAGTATAATAACAGTAAAATTACATAAGAAAAAATAAAACACTTGAAATAAATTTAAGTGAACTAAGAGACATAGGCTTTTAAAATTTGTTAAATCTTAATACATTCGCTGATCTCAAATTTTACAATATCTATATAATAAAAGAATAATTTTTGAACGTAATACAAACGTTTTACTTTTAATGATGATAAACGTAATAAATATTTACATTTATTAATATTTTCTATTTCACACGCGATTTAAGTTTTATAAGCGATAGTGAATCATTCGTAATAATTTAAATTATCAATTCGTACGATTCTCAAATTGAAATTTATTGCAGGACGATGTCTAATATATCCGACAATTTATGTTAATCAAATGGATACATTATATTGCTATTCGCTATTCAAAGTTACTTCCATCAATAAGCGAACAATAGCGGGTATATGTGTGTAAATTTAATATCTCGAAAATATTGAAACGTAGAATATTTAATGATGTTTTCGCGGGGAATAATCAATCGCAAGTTATAAAACCAAACGTGATAGCTATAGTGGCGTGCGCGCATTCTTCTCGTTTAAAATCCCACGAGTATTCTATCGCGCCTCGCCCGCCCACTATCACCTTCTCGATAAAATCAGCGGAAGCCCGCTCGAACACCGTCGTTTCTCTCTGTGGTCCATTTATATAAAGTTTCGTCATGTCACAAAATCGAGTGTTTCTTCAGCTGCAAACTCCAGAATTAATTTTTCCTTTGTGAAAACTTGATGGATGATAAATTAATCGTTTCCGCGTCTTTCTCTCCCCTCAGGATATGTCTTTGAAAGGCTCACATGTATAGTTACAGTTATATGCATTGAACAAGTTGGATATTTTGACATCTACATTTTTGCGTTGCTCGAGAAGTGTCAGACGAGTTGAGAGATTTAAATGAATTTTTATTCAATATTCTGATAAAGTCTAGCGAGAGTAACTTTAGTCTAAAGTATCAAAGTAGGATGTATACGCACACATATACGAGTCGAGCAAAAAATGGATTTGTATAGAGAAATTAAACATATTATCTACAATTACACACATACTTCCCTCTTCCTATTATTCTAAGACTAATAAAGATCTTCTTTCCCCTCTCAATAATATCTCTTTCTCTGTCTACAGAGGTCGTCATGCGATCATGAACACCGAGAGCGGCAACAACACTGACAGCGGTGTCAGCGGCAGCATCAGTGACGAGCCGCGTGACAGCGCCAAACTCATTCAGCCTAGGCACGGCAATGTCGTCCACGTGCGTAAAATGAGCGCGATGCCGGAAGAGGAGGATGTCGCGTCCGACGACACGGAGCCGGACCGTCAGAGGCCTTCGGAGATCGAGTCCGCCGAGTGGTCCTCGGAGGAGAGAGGTCGCTTGCTGCATTCCGCCGTGCGGAGGATCGTCGCGTCTACGGAGGGAGCGGACAAAGCTGTCAGAGGGACGACGAGTCGCGATGACAGTCCCGAGCGCGTGCTACGGAACAACGGTGGTCAACATCAGCATCATCACCATCATCATCGGGGGCCGCGATGCCGGCCGTTGATGCTCGACCGGACCGAGTCCGGATCGAGTTCGAGTCGCGACAACGGAACCCCGCAGAGTCCCGGCGGACTCAGCATCAGGAGCATCGATCAGCCGTACCTGGCGCGACATCATCATTGCTTTAACGCGCGTTATTCGCCGAGGATCCCCAGCTCCGTCATGGACGAGAGTCAGCAGCGTTGCTCCTGCTGTCAGCAGTCCTCGCCCACCTGGCAGTCCATCCTGTACGCCGAATCCAACGGGAGTAATCAGCTCGTTAATCGCTCGTTCCCTGATACGGTCTCGATCAAGTCCCTGGCGTCGATCGGCCTGGGCTCCTCGGACGGCCGGAAGCTGACAATACGTAGAGTTCCCACTTCGCCGTCGGAGCTGCTTAACGTGGTACATCCGCCGCCGTAAGTGAGACATATTACCTACGATCGTGTGCTCTTTCGAAGAAGCGAAACGCGAATCACACGTGATCGCCCGCAAGCGTGAATCTGTTTTTGCGTGCTCCGAAAGTGGAGTCTTCACTGCAATTAGCACATTCATATTATTCATTGTATCTTTCTTTCATAATGTGATGATGATTTCATCAAATCAGATGTTAAAGTTCGATGACAAGCAAGTTGTGACGGATTTATTCTCGTGTCCCTTAAAATTCATTCTCGAGTGCTGAATTGTCTCTTTCATTCTTCGAGAGAACAAAATTACACTTCTGAAAGGTAAATTTAATTTTTAGAGATACAATAGAAGGCTCTTACATCATTTTAATGATCTAATTAAAAATATAAAAGAAAGACGTAAGGGTCCAGTCTTTGTGTTTACACAGTGCCAATAAACACGTACGACAGAAATAATACTAGGTCAAAGATAAGATTTATTACAAGAAAAATTATGGCGTATGCATTTTAATGTAATACACCTGTGCTACTTTAGAATATTAAATGCAACACTTGTGCTACTTCTCGTAGCCAGTAAATCATCGAGACACTGTCTTATCTTCAAACTTGATAAAACAATTAAAGTAGTCGACGACCTTCACGTTTGAAATCTTTTTTGTTACGACTATTTAAATTATTTCTTTGTTCTTTATATTTTCAAATTTGAAAACTTATTATCACATTATAAACTAATCATGATGAAATTGAAATGCATACAAAACTGTATTCGCCATATGTTTTTCTCATGTGCAAGTTAATATGGCGTAAATATCCTAAGCAAACTATACTGCTGAACACATCTGGGATATAAGAAAGCTACATCCCAATGTGATCTTCAGTAGAAAAGATCAACGAGAGCAATTTACCAGCAAGTTATAACTTATATCGATCTTAGTGATTATCTATGAGATAAGATTAACGTAAAACAACATTTTTTAATTAACGCACGTTAATTATATCTCGAGTTACGAAGTTCGAGTTGCATTTAACGCAAATAACGTTGCAAATTTCTTCATATCATCGAAGGTTAATTGCATCGACTAATGCTTAATAATACATCTGTTCCTTTCTAGATCAGAAACTTTTAAGATAATTTGAGAAATTAAAAATGTAGGATAGAATAAGATACACTAAACACACATTAAAAAGGATTTTAAAAAAGTAGAATAAATTGAAATAAATTACATTTCTGTTGTGTAAGTTTTGTCAGATCAATTTATATAAAAGTTCAGGCGTTTGTGTAAACAAATTAAATTGAATGTGCATAAAAGTCAAACTTTTACTTGAAAATTTTTCTATATCAAAACCTCTTAAATAAACAATTTTTCGAAAGATCGATTGTGCTATTAATTAACGCTGTCATCGATAGAATTTCCTAGCTGTGCATACCTGCATTGTAACCAGGGCTGTGATCTAGAAAGGAGCAGAGGTCAAGTTAGTTAATTAACGACGTCGATGAAATTGGTTCTCAGTTTACCATATGGATAGCTCTAATCGATATTGTTGCGCGGTAGGCTCGATCAAAACTAAATTAGAACCGGGGATCAAAGTCGGCGTAATTTTCGTTAATAATTTGAACAAGTTCACAAATACATCTTAATACATCAGCTGCTTACGCACAAGTGATCACTGTTCGTGCGAATCGCGAAATCGAAAATCCGCCCAAATTAGAATCCGACTTGGATTATCCTGATCAGAAACTTATCCCTTCCGTCGAAGGAACTGCAACGAGTTTCTACGTGACGATGAGAGATGCGTTACGCGTCTAAGCTCGACGCGAAGCCGTCAGGTTTCGTTATCCAGGGTCTGCAATTCCGGCGTATCGTTTCAGAGACGTAAGTGGATAATAGATGCACGTACAAGACCGTGTCGTTGTTCGTGCGAGTGTCGGTGTGTCCGTGCGATACGGCATATTGTTGCAACTCCGCTGTTCCGTTTCTTTCATTGAAACGGCGTTGTCAACGATCCGTAATCGTCGTCCTACATTTAGACCTCGTTCGCGTTTCATTTTTTTAATCGAACACGTGAAAAAGAACACACCGGAATCACGTCGCCGCTTACGTTTTGTTAATAAAATCGGAGATCTCGAACGTTAAACGTAAATCCGCGAGTAAATCTATTTTCGATTTTAATAATCGATTCTCACGCTCGAAGTGGAAAGAGATTATTGACAAAGCCGTCAACCGAGCGAATCGACACGTTTTCTTTAAATCGCTACGCTTCGTAAAACGTTCATTATTATGTATCTTAGCTTATTAAAAGTTTCATATGTGTAAAGTATTTTTTGTTGGCAAGCTTATCGTGACGTACGACTTTGTTTAAATGTTCTATACTACGATGAGTTTAAAACAGAAAGTATAGTATTAATATCGCTCATTCTTATAGAGAATTTCATCGTAAAAAATAGTAGCTTTTAATTCAAAAATAGTAATTAGCTTGCATTTTTTCTGTTTTATTTAACGCTTTTGAAACGCGCGAATAGTTCAATAGATCAAACTTTTACACAATATTTAGAAAAGATGCGAGAATAATTTGATGCTTGAAAAGTGTAGCGAAGAAAAACGGTTTTGGTTTGTTTTGAGCTCTTCAAAATTCAGAAATAGACGTTTCTCGACCTGATTGACGATAATTGAAATTACACGTGACAATAGATAAGAGATAAAAATTATCATCACATGCTCGATGCTCTTGTTCTCGTCATTGTTCGGAGGGAACAAAGTCGCGCGTCGCGCATTTTTAACTTCATTTTATTTTTATTTTTTTTTCTTTTAAAATACAGCGACACTACGACGAGTAACGGCGTGCATTATCGTATCCGCGGTATATTAGTTTTCCGTTGTGAAACGAAACGGGAATGTACACAGGTGCGTCGCGTATATATCTTTCAGCATTGTCGACCACCCCTTTCCTGCCCGTCCGCCCCTCCTCTGGTCTGACACCATTTTTGCGTTCATCGCACCGTAAAGTATGAATTTATGCGATAAACGCATAAAAATTCCTGCCCCAATCGCGATTCTTATGTAGATAATGCGATACGCAAGACCGATTTTATACTCCGCGACAATTTATTCATGATATATATATATATATATATATATATGTATACGATTCAGATTATATTCTTCCATTTGGATTTATCGGCAGGAGATTTTCCTCTCTTCCCTTTTCCCCGTTCCCGCAAACGAGATCAATCTGTAATTAGCAACGCATGATATCGCGTAATTCAGAATTGCTGTCATCGTTAATCGGTGTCGATGGTAATCGAATTCGATGACTACTGCGTATATTTCGTATTCTATACTATATAACAATAACGATGAATATTTAATAGCTGCTACTGAACTTGCTCGCGAGCGCGTGTCATGCAAATTGCACGTCCACGCGTAATACAGCGACTGACGTATGATCGACTCATGTATGATTTCCCATCAAATAAAATTCACGATGCATCAAATAGTTTCTATACAGATGCGTAAAATGGTTTTCAAAAAATTGAAGAAAATTGGTAACGCGTTAACAGCATCTGTCAATCTATTATTGTTGTCTCGACGAAATTTGGCGACGCTAATATCTTTTGAAGACTTCGCTGTATACCTACCTAGGAATTACAATTATTCGTTCAACGAAATATTTAATAAAATGTTTGTTACACGGTTATTCGCTCTTTCGCTAAAACGTCAAATCTCATAACGTCGTAAATTTGACTCTCGCAACATTTTTCCGGAGGATTTGTCTCAATTTTTCTTTCACATTCTTCTGCACCGTAGATATCTTTCGTTCTTGCTCCGCTTTTATTTGCAATATAAAGGCTTATACGCTCGCGCGTCGCATTTTTGCAGTTTCGAGGATGACGTTTCTACGTGTGCCAGCTATGACGACGGGGATGCGGACGATTCTGGTGATTATCGGCAACCCAGGAGGCCCCATTGGGCGAATAAAGTGCAATTTGTGTTGGCCTGCATAGGTTACTCCGTTGGTCTCGGCAACGTTTGGAGATTTCCTTATCTATGCTACAAGAGTGGCGGTGGTGAGTCTCGCGATAAGAATTAATCTATTAATATTAATCTATTAATTCACATACGTCAATCTTGTATTCGTGTCTACGAAATTAAATGTCTTATATGAGAAGCGGAAGAAAAGATATGAAAGAAAAGAAAAAGAAAAATTCATATATTCGATATACGAATTTAAAATGACCTGTATATACATATATTTAAAATTATGACCAAAAGTGAATTTGTAAATGTCAAACAAGCAGACGGCACAGTTGGAATATGTCGCCGCGATTAGCAAGAGCGTGATAAGAGCACGCGGTTATTTTGCGCGTTGCGAAATACGTCAGTGGCGAAACAGCTGACGAAGCAACGCTCCGAGGTATCGTCCTCTAATTTTTACGAGTATCAGAGACACATTATTATGGAATGATTTAAACCATGAAATGGCTCCTTATGTTTTTTGTTCTTTTTAAAGCGTTTTCAAATTATCTCTTTTTATCCTTCAAGTACATATTTTGTCAGAGATAAAACACACACGACGTTAAAACATAACAACTGTAACGCTTAAATTGTTACACTAGACGGTCAGTTACGTTGAAGAGTATCATTATTGAATAAAAAGCGCGTGTTCTCATAGTGAGGGTAAAATTATTACGTGTCGCGGAAGATCGAATTAAGGCAGATTTTGTAAAAAAAAAAATAATAATTGCGACGTCTTGCGTAAGTCGAGTTTCGGATTCAGGGCAAGAGCAAAGCTACTCTTGCAATCCCTGCAACGTGAGCGCGTATCGTGTTGCCGGCAATTTTCAAAGTCTGGAAGCATCCGGAGCCCGGATGTGTGGCGCAATTCTCCTCGCGGAACTTGATACATGACCTTGTCGGAACGCGACTACTCCACCGGGCATGGTAAATGATTTCAATGACACCGGTGGAAATAATCGGCCGGGAATCACCTTGCCGTACTGCCGGTTTAAATTGAAGAGCCGGAAAACCGACTTGCGCGATCCGATTTACACAATTTAAACGATTCATATCGTTTCGTTCAAAAATAACGTCGACTGGAATCTATGTAAAACATTTAGGAAACAATGAAAAATCGCTGGAGAAGCAATCAAAAAATTAATCCTCGAAAGAACAAATTAGCTGTTTGCTCAGGTTTTATCAATTATTTCAAAATAATTTTAACGCTGGGGGTATTAACTTAAAATTTTCTATGATAGAATTTTTTATTTTGGTTTTAATTAAACTTTCCGTATGTGTAATGATTGCAAAATAAAAATTGCAAAATTAAAATATTTAATAAGAAAACGAAAGAATTTTTTAGGCATTTAAATAAATAAATCAAATTAATTAAATCATACAAAATACATATATCTCTAAAAATTATTTTTAGGATAGGCAACTGAAAATAATAATTTTATTTAATCGTAACTTTGTGTAAACATGATCTCCGCATATACAATATAATGAGTTAGAAACTACTTTATAATTTCAACAATCATGTATGCACAAGTTAATTTGTAAATAACACGCAGAATCGTTGTAAAAATATACGTGTATGTGCGCATGTAATTTTGCAAAATCATATATTAAACAGGGGGACCGGAAAATCAGAGGAAATAATATGGCTCTACTTGCACGAGATGCATGCTCCGATATTCATTGTGCCGCAACGCCAAATTGCATTTTCGTGATAAAGACGACATTGTTGAAAATAACTGTAACAACATTAATGCGAATGCGTGTCATTATCCGCCTTGTAATTCGACGCGATTGGATTTTCGCCAGAAATTAAATCGCTTGCAATCTCCCCATTGATACGTCACGTGAAATCGGCCGATTGTTATCTCTCCGTGCGCATCCCCCGTTTAATATCCGGCGATATAATTTATTTGAAGTATGATCGTAAATATATTATTTGTATCGTCGGTTAAACTAAATGAAAACTGTCATCCGCACGTTGTTCGCTAGATTGAAGCGACGAGGAAACAGATCGGATAACGTCGTATGAATTTATGTGTACGACGCGATATATAGCATTTTGCCGAGTGGGAATTAATTTACATCTTCCCGAAATGTGCGAAACAAATTGCGTACGCATAATCGCGCGCGATTATAAAATAATCTGTATGAATAAAATATATTTCATCTTTCTATAAAAGTAATGCCGCGAGCTAAACTCTATTAAATAAATAAAAAGTACGACTTGTATTTTTGTGAGAAAAATACAAAAATCGATCTTTTTCAAGAGGATATTTTAGCCTATTAACGACCAAATACATATAAAATGTGTCTTTTATTTTAACTTAGACTACAACCCAATATTTAAAACAGCTTAATATTTAAAACTCATCAAAGTCCAAGAGGGACACTTCCCCACCTTTTCATGTTAGATTAATTTGACTTTTCCTTAATTAAAATAGAAGGAAAGAGAAAGAGAAAATATTAAAAATTTTTATGACACTTTTCGATGAATAATTTCTTTAAAAACATAATAGAGATGCACCTTGGAGGGTATTTTAATTCTATTACTGACGGTTTTATGTTTTTCTATCTGCGCGCATTTTTTTATTATTTAATGACGAATTAAATAATTTATTATTATTTAACTATTTATAATTTTAATTATTGTTAATTATTGTTCTTTACATTATTCCTGTCATTTTAAAAAAGACTTTTACGTAAGCATTGATAAAGATAAAAAAGAATTGCCGTAAATGAACGGACAATTTGACAATTGAGAAAACTTATCAACAGCTGACTAATCGTGGCATTCACTATGCGGTGACTAAATGCTCAAATTAAGTCATAATCCGCGACACTACGATCGTCGTTTATTACGAATAAAGAGTTACATCCAGTGACCTTGTCACTGCCCACAGTATGATTAACATCGATTACGTGCACGCGGGTAACCGTGTTTAGCGAAAACGTATTTGGCAAACCCACGTGAGTCTCGCGTAAACTGGATCAACTTTTTTCTCCTTTTTTATACTAGAGAAGAAAGAGTTCTCGACATTTTCTTCAATAAAAAATTGTACAATTTTAATATCGAACGCTCGATGGGATATTTTGTTTATATGGACCGTTTCATCTTTCAGGTGTGTTCCTCGTGCCTTACTTTTTAATACTCGTAGTATGCGGAGTACCATTGCTGTACATGGAACTCAGCATCGGACAGTTCACTCGTCGCGGCCCAATCGGCGCTCTGGGTCAAGTGTGTCCGTTATTGAAAGGTAAACGAATAAGTCATCGAATGATAGATTGTCGATAAAATCCGATGGTCGTTGAAAGCTTTTGCCCGCTCATTTTTATCGCAAAGCGCTAACTTGAAACATACATTTAATTTGGAAACTATAATTGGAGGACGTTCGAATTGTAAGAAAAATTGGCGTCGTGTTCTATTCATTTATTTATTTTTTAAATAAATGAACGTAAGCGACTTAAATTCTTAATTTTGACTCTTGAGTCTTTTTGAAAAATGTATATTTTAATTAGAGTGAGAAATCTGTCTTTCTCATGCTATTTTCTATGATGTATATTTGTATCTCTGTAGGAGCTGGTCTGTCGTCGGTTGTGATATCGTTTCTGTTGTCTACCTACCATAATGTGATAATAGCCTACGCAATTTATTATTTCTTCGCGGCATTCCGACCGGATCAACCATGGTCGCGTTGCGACAACTCGTGGAATTCGCCGCGCTGCTGGTTGCCCACTTACGGATTCATCGATAATCGAACTCGACCGAATTCGACAAGGACGCCGTCCGAGGACTTCTTCGAGTACTCCTTCAAATTCATTTAAAATTTTTATTCAAAATTTAGACATCAATTTATATGATTTTTTAACAAGTTATCCACGCATTATTTCTATTAAAGAATTGATTGCTATATTATTTACTTATAATAAATTCCATAAAAAATACATATAGCAATTTCAAAATATTTAAAAAAAAAATAGTTATTTTTTACTTAGCAAGAAGGTCCTGCAAATTAGTAGCGGTATCGAAGAGCCAGGAATCGTGAGATGGGAACTTGTAGCGTGCTTGATAACCGCGTGGATCCTGGTATATTTTTCCATTTGGAAATCCATCAAGTCATCAGCACAAGTAAGGTATCTCACAGCAACATTGCCTTTCCTCCTGATCGTCGTCTTCCTCACGCGTTCGCTTACCCTGGAGGGCGCCTCGAAAGGTCTGCAATTCTTTTTTCATCCACGCTGGGAATTGCTCGGTGATGCCAAGGTACTGAAAAAAATGATTAATTTTTCGTTAGAAAAAAATGATATATAGCGTCATTCTATTAATTATATTTAGGTCTGGGTAAACGCTGCGGCGCAAGTCTTCAATTCTATAGGTATCGCCTTCGGATCGATGATATGTTTTGCAAGTTACAACAGATTTCACAACACAGTTTTGGTAGACACCATTGCTGTTTCTTTGATAAACGCCTTCAGCAGTTTACTGGTCGGAATATTCTCTTTCGCCACGATCGGCAATATAGCGTTGGAGCAAAACATGTCTGTCGAAGATGTCCTGACTGACGGTACGTATGTATATAGAAATAGAGAAAATTAAAAGTTTGCGTCGCATTATAAATGTAAAAGTAAAAAAAATCTATACGTCACATTATGTTGCACATTAACTCTTGCGAAGAGTTACATGCATTTTTTTCTATTTTTTTCCCGCCACTTTGCATCGTCAGATTAACTCTCTGCCTGACATTTTATAGATAAATCATAATTTCCGTTCAAGGACCTGGTCTAGTCTTCGTCATCTATCCCCAAGCCCTAGGCAAGATGCCAGCTTCTCAACTCTGGGCTGTACTATTTTTCTTCATGCTGGTCTGCCTTTCGTTGAATAGTCAAGTAAGTATGTACATCGGAAAGTGCAATTTCTTTTTTAAAAACATACGTACATTAACAAATAAACTTAATCGGTATTGCCAAACTATATATTGCTACATAAATCCGTAGAAGTACAAAAATATTATCTAAAAAATATACAATTAATATTAATTAATCTTGCGGCGAAGGAAAATTTTTGAAATAAAATTTTAGCGTTTTGCTCAATCGCGCTTATTAATAGAGATGCAAATGATATATGTTTACAAACTTTCTACTTGAAAGATCGCAATAATTTATTTTTTGTAATATTTTAATGGTTGTTACGTAAACATTCGGGATTTCAGTTTGCTGTTGTTGAGGTGGTCGTTACGTCGATCCAAGACGGTTTCCCAAAATGGGTGAAGCGTCATCTCCTCTGTCACGAAGTGCTGGTTCTTCTTATATGCGTCGTTTCGTTTTTATGCGGATTACCAAATATTACACAGGTAGGATCAAGCACGTCGAATCGATTCAATTTTTTATAAACGCGAAATTAGATGTTTGCCTCTTACTAAGTTAATTTCTCAACTGCCTCAGGGTGGTATTTATTTCTTCCAACTGATAGATCACTACGCTGCGTCGATGTCCATTATGTTTTTGGCGTTCTTCGAGGTAATCGCTATCTCTTGGCTTTACGGTGTACGACGATTGTGCAATAACGTTAAAGAAATGACCGGACGTTTGCCCTCGATGTACTTTCGGTTCTGTTGGTTCCTCGCTGCACCTCTACTCATAATGGTATGCAAAATTGATATCGCATCGATGAATAGATAATATGATAAAATTGTCCGTTTTCAAACGGAATTGAAACTACGTAGTATATCTGAGTAAAAAGCAAACATTTGAGGCGGATGATTACTGATTGTATCGAGTTGAATACGAGGAAACGCGGATTAAAGACGAGCAATTACTCGCGCGCGATTGAGATCTTCAGAGAAACGTAAAGTGCTTTGTTATTTCTCGGGAATAACGATTGCGTGAATAATTGCCCGCTTTTAACTTCCTACTTCCGTATTTTGCATGCGCGCGACATTTTTGACGCAGTCGGCGATCTTTAAAACACGACCGGCATTTTCATAATTACCTCGTCTCTTTAGGCCGTATGGGTGTTCAGCTTAATTGATTACGAGCCGCCGACCTACCACAATGGTGACTACACATATCCATGGTGGGCAGAGGCAATTGGATGGGGCATCGCGTCTCTCTCCTTAATTTGCATTCCCGCTTTTGCCGTTTACATATTCGTCCGAGCGGATGGTGTCACGTTCGCCGAGGTACGTCGAATTTTGTTGTACATATTATTGGGTAATCATGAGATCAGTTTGCCTACAGAATTCTACGAAGAATCTTCAATCATTTTCTTTTGAAATCTAAAATTACGAAACACAATCTTATACAATAAAAATACGAAATAGTATTTGATAGAAAATAAACATGGAATATACATATTGTATGAAAATTAATGAGATTGTATTTTGCGCTCTATAAAGAAACTGATATTATTTGCGCAGAGACTCAAAAATTCCATCAAGCCGCATTTTGAAGCGTGCAAAGTTTGCGGTCAGGAATACTGCATGGAGCCTATGCACAATCTGGATGAGGATGACATTCTTAAGGAAGCTCAAACAGACGTGAATACTTCCATAAAATTAAATTCGCATTATCTACTAAAGCCTCAGATGTGATAACGTAATGAATATAAGAGCAATTAAATTTTCATAATTACACTTAACTCGTGTCTGCAAGTTGAAATTGTTTCAAGAAGTAATTATTCAACAAAAGATGTCATTTACTCACTTTTATTTTCATCACAAATCATTACAACAGTTGTTGCGCGACAATTAACATTCCACTATTTATAGCTCGTTATAAAGTATAGCAATTATTTGCAAAAGAGTCATTAAGATAAGATTATATATCTGTTACTAATGTTATTTTTATTGTATAAACTATTGTTCTTTGCGCCAATCGTGTGATAAATTATAAACCAGCACTGATTGAAAGTAGGAGCATATACCTGTATACATCGCAATCAATATATGTGAAACATTGTTAACCATATAACTTTAATAAATTATGTATTGTCCAAAAATGTATATATTTTTCGCAATTCAACTCTTTTAAGTATTTATTAGAATTTAATAGCATTTTAACCAATTTAGTGATGACGTATTTATTTTTCTTCTTTTCTTATTTTTGCTTCCTCATAGAGCAAGCTTTGTTTTCTTGAAAATTTTTTTAGATTTTAAAACATTAAAAAATCACATTTTTGAAAAATGTTCGTATGTGCGTGTGTATGTATGTATGAATATATGCATGTAAGGATATGAATTTAGCAAGAATCGGTGAAAGGTTCCATTTTTTATAAAATTTCGAATTTTTCAAAAAACAAAGAGGGAGTACATACATTCATACATGCACATACATATACGTGACAATTTGAAAAATGTTATTTTATGTAAAAAAGTATGTAAATTGGCAGCTTGCACAATGTTTTCTCACCATATTATTTCGCTAATTAGAATGGTTTTCCATTATGGCTTCCTCATAGAGGAAGCGTAACTTGCACATTGCCATAATTTAAAAACTTTCTTAATGAGCGAAATTAAATTGTGATCAAGCAATGTGCAAGTTAAGCTTTCTTTATGAGGAATAAGCCATAATTGGAAAACCATCCTAATTAGCAAAATAATATTGTGAGGAAGCAATAATGTGCAAGTTGCCAATTTGCACACATTTTATTTTTATTTTTCTTTTATATTTCTTTTTATTTTTATTTCAATTATTCTCGCATTGTGTATATTTGACTATTAAGCAACCATACAATAATAGAGACAGCGGATTTCGATATAACGGTACGCTTATGTAAGTTTAGACTTCCATTACACAGCGGGTTTCGATCGTATTGAATCCTCATACGTTAAATTAGATATAACTAATTGCATTATATGCGTCTCCGGGACACACCAATGCCACGGCAACACTCTCTTATTCGAGCACTGGCCAAGCTCAAACTCACGTCAAAGTTTACCGTAATAGCGTTCCGCTTAAACTTACCGAAACATGACAAAGAAGTTCGAATTTAATTGGCGCATCGAAGTGCCGGAGCTCTTGACGAAGGGCGCGGTATTCGATCGATGGTTCGAGGACAAAGACACGACTGAATACGAGCCGAATTGCCTATTCAAAGTTGACGAGTACGGGTTCTTCATCTATTGGAAAAGCGACGGCAAGGTAGTCGAGATTTTCTTAGTTGTGTCTGTAAATAGATCAATATTTTACTGTTAATTCTTGACAAATCAGTGCGCGTATAAATTATTATCATTTTTCGGATAGGACGGGGATGTCATAGAGTTGGCTCAAGTAAGCGACATTCGTTATGGAGGCACACCGAAGGTAAAGTTTGAATAGAAAAGCAAATGGCATGAGATTAAAAAATTTTATAATAAATAACAATAATTTGCATAAATAATCGTATAACAATGGACGGTCGGTCTGTTTAGGAGCCAAAGTTATGCAATAAATTAAGTAAACATGGAACGTTGGAGCAGTTGGATGAAAAAAGTTTAACTATATGTTCTGGAGTGGATTATACGAACATTCATTATCAGCATATTGTATGTGAAAATGCGCAAACAGCTAAGGTAATAATGAAAAATTTGAGAAACGTTATTAATACTTAATATATAAATACAATTTTCAAAAAATCTGTAACAAATTGATTATAGTTCTAAACTTTTTGTTTCAAAATCGCGACACAAATTGTGTGTGCGTTCGCATTTAATATTTTACTTAATTACATATGTCTTGTTTCTTTATTTTACGTAGTTATACATGTATTAAAATTATGTTGCTTTATTGCTAATATAATCGATACATCTTATTCTCTATTCTAATGCTAATCTGTGATTAATATTCAGGATTGGCAGACTGCTCTGCGTTTAATTACGCATAACACAAAAGCATCTAATATTTGTCCGACAACACAGCTTATGAAGCAGTATGTATTTATTAATTCGAACTCGATGCAATTTTATAAAAAATATAATAAATATAAATTATAAAATTATAATAAAAAAAAAATATATATATATTTGTTTTCATATTGTTTTTTAAATCACTACATAAAACATGGCTCTGATCATTGATCGAATCTACCAGTTGGATGCGGCTAAGTTTCCAAGTCGATCCGAAGGGAAAGGTCCCTGTGAAAATTATATCAAAGACTTTTGCATCTGGGAAGACCGAGAAACTTGTTTATCAAGGATTATCGGAACTGGGTTTACCCAATGGGAAGGTAAATCATTAAATATGAGACTTTTTTAGAAAGTTTTTAGAAAAAAAGCTCTTAACATTTAAATGCGACCAACAGTTTAGTTAGGAAAATTTCAAAATTATTTCCAATTAATAACGCAATTTTTTCTACATATTACTTTAGTAACTTAACAGTAAACATACATATTTTATTCTTAAAATTTTTTTGTGTAAATCTGTTCATAAAAATAAGTTTGTAAAAATTTTATGTAATACCTCGTATATATGTGTAAAATTCACTTTTTGTTTAACTATTCTTATAACGTTATTTAATCTTTGAAAATATTAGTGTTTACTAGAAAGAATTATTAGAAAAAATTTATACGAAAAATTATATTAAATTGTTCAAATATATAACTAATAAAAAAAATATATTTTGCAAACTTTAATCTTTTACATTTTAGAACGACAAAATAGAACCTGAAGCTTTCACGTTCGACAAGTTCTGTAGTTTATACTTTAAAATTTGTCCTAGAAATGATATAGAAGAACTTTTTCAATCAATGTAAGTACTCACAATTGGATGATAATTATCAATATCACACATTACGAATAAAATAAACGTTATTATTTTTATATCGCTTTACAGCACAAAAGGACAGGCCGATGCTATAAATTTAATGCAGCTCGTAGATTTTATGAACACGAAGCAGAGAGATCCGCGACTCAACGAGATCTTATATCCTTTGTACACTGAGAAGAGATGCACGGAAATCATTAATGACTACGAGACGGACGAGAAGATGAAAGCGGAAAGTGAGCTTCTCTGACAAGCTTAATTTTATTTTATCGCTATTAATTTTGATATCAAAAATAAAAGAATATAATATTCCTCAATTTAACTTTTTACGCAGAAAAATTGACGAAAGATGGCTTTATACGGTATTTAATGTCGGATGAGAACGCACCGGTGTTTCTGGACAAATTAGATGAATGGATGGAGATGGACCAACCGCTTTCGCATTATTATATTAATTCGAGTCACAACACTTATCTTAGCGGCCGCCAAATCGGTGGCAAGAGTACCGTTGAAATGTATCGACAAGTTCTGCTTGCTGGTTGCAGGTAATTTGTTAGAACGATAAAATGACGATAATGTTGACCGAAAAATAAAAGAAAATTGAATTCCATCTTAGATGCGTGGAGTTGGATTGTTGGGACGGCAAGGGCGAAGACGAAGAACCCATCATAACTCACGGCAAAGCTATGTGCACCGATATCCTCTTTAAAGATGTGATCTACGCCATAAGAGACACCGCATTTGTCACTTCCGAGTATCCTCTTATTTTAAGTTTCGAGAATCATTGTTGCATGAAGCAGCAATATAAACTGGCCAAGTACTGCGACGAAATATTCGGCGATTTGTTGCTAAAGGAACCCCTGAAAGATTATCCTGTAAGCGATACGTGAGAAAAACGATTATAACGATTATCGATATCAGTTAATTAATGAATTAATATTCAATATCTCATAAATATATTTTTCTCAGCTCGAGCCAGGGTGTCTTCTCCCTCCACCATGCGAATTGAAACGCAAGATATTGATAAAAAACAAGCGGTTGAAGCCGGAAGTGGAGAAAGTCGAGCTCGAGCTCTTTCGTGCCGGACAATTCGAAGCCAAGGACGAAGATGTAGAAGATGCAAGCGCGCCTGCAGCTGCTCCACCTCCCGAGCCGCCAAAGGTCATTAATTACATTAATGAACTTTTAGAGAAGCGAAAATTAAGTAGCACTCCCCTTCCTCTCCGTCTCTCTGAAAAATTAAAAAATTTCTGGAATTGTCTTCAATATATTTGCTGTCGTGTAGGAAAACGAAGCTCCTGCCGGAGGCGAGGGAACCGAGGAAGTACAAGCGACTCAATATACTGGCAGCACTATGCGGGTTCACCCTTTACTTTCTTCGATGATAAATTACGCGCAACCCATAAAGTTTCAGAGCTTCGAAGCTGCAGAGAGTACGTGGTATATCGACACGATAAAAATTTCTATGCCTTCTTTTCTCTTTAATATAATCATTTCATTTTTAAAATACTATATTTCCTTAGAATTAATACTAATAGATCTAATAAACTAACAAATCTGTAATCGTTTCAAAAACCCCTTAATTGTATTACTTTTCAAATACTGTCTTTAACCCTTTTTAGGAAGCATTCTTCTAAATTTTACGAAAGCACAAAAAAAATTGTTAATAAATATGTAAATTTAAAAATGGATAAGGAGTTTTATACTACGTCTTTTTGTAAAATTTTATGTACGAAAGTAGATTTGATGTTAACCGAAATGGGCTAATGGCAAAGCATATATATCCTGACTTAAGAAGGGTTAAATGAATGAGCGTATACAAGAGCGTGTGCACGAGTCGCATGCGCGACACGTACTAATGTCTCAACCCCGACGTTCTAGGCAAGAATATACATCATAATATGTCTTCGTTCTCCGAGACTGCCGCTCTTAACTATCTGAAAACTCACTCCGTGGAGTTCGTTAATTACAACAAGCGGCAAATGAGTCGAATATATCCAAAGGGCACGAGGGCTGATTCCTCGAATTACATGCCTCAGGTAACTGCAATAATAACACAAACGCGCTCAAATTCCCCGTAGAGTTATTACTCATGTATCCCCGTTATCTAACTATAGATATACAGGCAATATCAAAAGTCTTTTATATCATACTCTTTTACTACGAACTATTCTTCATATTTAACGATCTCCGATATCTATATAAATTGAAAGAAAATAAATGATTTTTTCAATATATTTTATAATTATACCTTTTCAATGCAATACGCTCGCAATTTATGTAGGTCTTCTGGAATGCTGGCTGCCAGATGGTAGCTTTGAATTTCCAAACACCGGATCTGCCGATGCAACTCAATCAAGGGAAATTCGAGTACAACGGGACTACGGGCTATTTACTGAAGCCCGACTTCATGCGTAGACCTGATCGAAGCTTCGATCCTTTTTCCGAGGACGTCGACGGTATCATCACCGCGCAGTGCTCGGTCCAAGTCATAGCCGGGCAATTCTTGTCTGACAAGAAGGTGGGCACGTACGTGGAAGTTGATATGTACGGTTTACCAGCGGATACAATTAAGAAAGAATTCAGAACGCGAATGGTGCCGGCGAACGGTCTGAATCCGGTCTACAACGAGGAACCATTCTCATTTCGGAAGGTCGTGCTTCCCGACCTGGCAGTGCTCAGATTTGGTACTCTATGAGACTCTTTTTTTCTTCAATTTTTTATTAATATAAAGAAATTTGAAGCAATTCCTAAATACACAAATATTCATTTAAAACCTTGTAAATAGATCAATATTGAATATCTGTCTGATCTATAAATAGGATATACTTTTTAATCACGTTTCGTTTTTATTACGCAGGCGTGTATGAAGAGAGCGGCAAATTGCTTGGGCAACGAATCTTACCTTTAGATGGTCTTCAGGCCGGCTACAGACACATCTCCTTGAAAACTGAAGCAAACTTCCCAATGGCGTTGCCGATGCTCTTCTGCAACATAGAACTGAAGATTTATGTCCCCGATGGATTCGAAGGTAACGTTTGAAGTGCGGCTCGAAAATAGTAGTATTCCTAGCGGCGCTTTCGTTCAAGCCAGCTTCCAATTTCAGATTTTATGGCCGCCTTGTCGGATCCGGGTGGTTTTAGCAAGGCTGCGGAGAAGCAGAGCGAAACGATGAAAGGACTTGGAATAGAACAGACGGATGCCAAGGCGGAAGCTAAAAAGAAGAAGGAAGAGGAGACAAAGAGGGGTAGGTATAACATCATATATAAGATACGATTGCGTCTTTTTTTTCTATATCGGTTTAAAAAAGAATATCAATTGAACAACAAAAGGACGATAAAAAAATTATGTCATTTATTATACACTCTTCAAAATAATTAAGGGATCAAAAGAAATTGTCCAAAATAGACAAATTTTAAATAGTTGAAACTTTGTTTCGAAAAATGAGAATTAAAACTAGTTAAAATTTGCCTACTTTTTGGACAATTCTTTTGATCCTTTAATTATTTTGAAGAGTGTATGTTATTTTAAATACATGTGTGCAGTTTTTATATTACACAATTTCAGAGGAGTTGAAACTAGAACCCATCACACTAGAATCCTTAAAGAAAGAGAAAGGTTTTAAAATTGGTAAGAAGCATCAGAAAGAGTTGGATGCCATGAAAAAGAAGCATATGAAGGAAAGACAAGCCATGCAAAAGAATCATTGCAGTAGCATCGAGAAGCTAACTAAAGGGAAAGAGTATGTTCTTGTTGACATTTTCTACATTAATTATTTCGTGTTGAGAAGAAGAGATGAGGGAAATATATGAGTTCATATCCTCAACATTTTTAGCAAAAATTCTTTGGCGCAAGACGCTAATGTGAAGAAAGTTATAAGCAAACAAACGACTCAATGGTCCGCTATGATGGAGAAGCAGAGGAAGGAGGAGTGGGAATTATTGAAAAATCAAACGCAGAGCTCTCGCGATGAATTAAAGAGGTTGATTGAGATCGTGCAAGCCACGCAAGTTAAACAGATGCAGGCAAAGCACGACAAGTTGGTTCATGCCACTTAATTGATTATATATGTATAAGTATAATATTCGCTGATTGATGCTCGCAATGATATAAATTCTGATTTGCCACGATCTTGTTTTATGTGAAATTACGCGTTGATTTTGCAGAGACGCTAAGGAAATGAATACCAATCAAGCAAAAGCATCCGTAGAAACGGCGAAGGAGGTAATGAACGACAAGACTTTGAAAACGAAAGGTGAGAAGGATAGACGTCTTCGTGAAAAGAAGCAACAGAACACGAAGAAGTTTATGGAGGAGAGAAAGACTATGGAAATCAAGCAGGGTCGTGAGAAAGAAAAGCTGAAGGTTACACACGAAAAACAAGTAGCAGACTTGGACAATAACATCGACGGGGTAAGCTTCTGTGTAGAGGTAAAAATTAGCATTTAATTTTTTTTTAGTTTTAGAGTAAGCATTTCCGGTTATAGTTTCATATTCTGAAATATGATTCTATATTTTACATTGCAAATGAGGAAAAAAATTATTATTATTAAATATTTTATTCTTATCTAACAATATTTTACGAAAACAGAAAAGATAAATAATAAAGTTAGTGTAAGATAATAAGTTATGGTAGATAATAAATAATTGAAAAAATTATAAAGAAATAAAAAATTGTGCAATTTTTATTTATGTAATTAATATGACTTTAAAATAATACTATTGATCATGTTGCAGAGTATTGAAATGTACAAGAATGAAGCGATTGAATATGATTTATCGTCTAAGGCAGAACTCTATATATAACTTCTTCAATATCTCTTGCTTATTATACTTATCATTGTTATAATATCGTTATCTTATATACATGGAGAAAACATTATAATAAAAAATGACAATATAATTTTTATAACAGTATAGAATACATTAAAAAAAAAAATATATATATATATATATATATATATATGTATAAGAGAAATTACAATATTTTTATTCAATAATATTATATATATATTATATTTTATAAAGGAATATAGTTAGACACAACATATTTTTAAAACAAAAACTGCATAATTAACAAACAAAAATACAAATGCATGATTTACAAAATTTTTATAGTAATAAATATCTTAATGTCGTTATATTCCAGCAATAAATGTAAAACTGCAAAAGGAAATACATTTTTTATATAACTAGAACAACACAATTGCGTGCTACGCGCACACCATCCCTCGATTTTATATAAAAAATTGATATTAAAAGAAATAATATAAAATTTTATTTAGTTTCAAACTGCAATAAAACTGCTTTTTGATAGAAATCAGCTGATGACTGTTAAAAATATGCGCTCAAACATGAGTTATCTAGTGATTAAAACATATTGAAAAATGCGTAAGGGTGCGTTTAAAAATATAGAGAAACATATGAATAAAATGATCCTCAGTTCAAAATAAAAAAATATCAAATAACACACATGTCAATACCTAAAATGTAATAATATCTAAATCGCGACTCTAAAATTTTGAGAAAATAATTATCGACTCAAATAATTTAAATTTATTAAAATTTATTAAAAAATTAAAGAGCACGTACGAGAAAACATAAATAAAAAAGACTGCGCAAGCAAAATTAAAATATCTTAAAGTGGCGGGTGCTGGTCATTTAAAAATTTTTTCTTTTTAAAATATAAAACGAATATAAACAAAACAAACGAACAAAATTATTGTTAAGTACTACAAATAACTACAAACGATTCTAAAAAGCAGCGCAAGCGGATTTTAAATATCATTAAGTAGGGTATATTTGTCCGATAATAAAAAATAAAAAATATTTAAAAATACTTAACACGTGACATAAAAATATACTCGATTCTAAAATTATGAAGAAATTAATTATTGCTGCTAATGCTTTAAAGCCTTTAAATTATGAAAGAACGTGAAGCTGAACGTGACACGATACAAACTGTCTTTATTACAACCGTGTAGATTCGATCCGTTGAATTCGACCACCAAAATTACATGTGCGCATGATTATATAAATAACATCAAACACTGTATATACATAGAAGTTATTTTTAGAGGGTATATATATATATATATATATATATATATGTATATATGTATGTGTGTGATTCGTCATAAAGTTTATTAATTATTGCTAATATCTATATATTTTGATCAATATATCTTTTTCAATAATAAAAAAATAATTCAAAAAATATTTTATCAAATAGCCTTTTAATTCTGTTCTATTACATTTTAAAATAATGTTCAAAAAATTTATCAAAATATCTCTTGAATTCTATTCGATTAAAATATCCCCTTTGAATCCTGTTTAATTAATATTAAACATATTGAATTTCATTTTTAAAATTTTTCAGAAGTTGCAAAAGTAGGACGGTTTTTCAACAACATATAATATTTTTAGAATATTTATTAACATTGTTAACATTTATATACAGTTCAACAAACTTTTAAGGCATATTTTTTCCAAAATTGTGCGTAGCTCTATAATTATTAACGATAATCACAATGGGAATGTATATAATATTATCGTTTGGCACGTATAATTTTGTACACTCTGTTAGACATTTTTGTACGTTATTGGAAAGCAAGATTTACATGTTATTAAATAAAAAGTCCTATATAAATACCAAACACCTATGAAACTTTTTCTTCAGATCCTTTGAAATTTTATTTAGTATACAGTATCCGTACTCTCTTGCAATTGAATGTAGTTTTGAACAAATGGCATACGATACACGCGCAAAGAGGCAATAGATCCGAGACACGCTCCAATCCAATAAACTATCATATGTTCCGTGGATGTAGTTCCCAAACAGCCGTATTTTAGAGAAGTCGCCAAAGCGGGATTGAAGTAACCACCAGTATAATTGAATGCTGAAATGCATCGCGTCGAAACAATATTGTAAAGATAAATTGACATTTTTTTATATATAGTGAGATATCTATTATATTATGATATAATTCGCCAACCTGCAACCACCAAAGCCGTTCCTACGAAAGCATCAATGACCGTACAAAACCTCGGATTCAAATCACTCAATACACGGGATACCACTCTACATATGCATGTTGCAATGCATTCCACAAATGCTCCAATTATAGCAGATACCTAAAAATCGTATTGCATTTTCATTGATTCAATAATAAAAATATTCTGACTATATATAAGCACACACTACATATTACGTAACAATACCGCATAAATTATAATATAAATAAATAATTTATAAAATATTTGAAAGAGTATATTAATTTTGTGTGATATCTAAAAATGTGGCGCATGAAAGTAAATATTTTACTTATAATGGCAATAATATATTATATGCAAATGAGATGCTGCTGTGGAATCAAACGCGATTGCTCTTGCCTGTAAATCAGTAGTGCACTCTTCGTAGGCCCTGTTCTTGTGCGTAGAAACAAGTTGAAACGCCCACAACATTTGAATATATTTGAATATGATGAGACCGCCAGCCAATTCTGCACATATCGACAGAAAAGCAATGCCCAAAGGTTTTTTACCTACAACTACATCCTCCATATGTGTATAAGGACAGGCTGAAGCTTCATCCCAGTTCAATGACCACCAAATTGTTAATAAGAATAGGTAAAACGCGTACATCCATACTCCCCAATTGTCCGCAACTGTTTAGAGAAAAGTTTAACACTTTCGAAGGAAAATAAGGCACATAAAATAAGATAAGTTGCTACTGTAATGTATAATAATAAAATAGAAAATAATTTTAAAAAATTTAATCAAACAATTAAAAATACATACCAAAAATAATTAAATTAGACTAACAATAATCACTAAATACTAACAAAAATTGTATAACTATATATACAACATAAAGATAAATACACAAAATATAATAAATGCAGTCTATAAGTAAATATTTAACTTATATTTTGAAATACCTAAGTTTATCTATCTACTGTCAAAAATTAATCTTACAATGTCGCGCGGCTTTATTATTGATATAAAGGAAGTAATTATATATTATAGAGTCGCGCGAACTTACTTATAATGAGTTCGAAACATGCCCCACAAAGTTCTGCCGTAGCTATAAATTCTAGGGCGAGAATCCTCGTGAGGGGATAAGAATTAAGATAGAATAGTGCATAGAGCCTTAGCCAATATGCTATCCAAATCGTAACTCCAATGTATGCTGTAGATACTACCAAATCTATTGATCCAGGCATTATCCTATTAAAGTACGTGACGTTTAAATAAATGCGGCCTCATCAAAATGTACGAGGGCAATAAAACACATCCGATATAACTCTATGCACACTAGAGATAGTTTACATCTAATATAGTGTTATGTAATTAAATCTTAAAACATAATTTTTCTATCCTCATTATTATTATAAATTATTATCAAAACGAATTAATGAACATATCGTTGTTAATAATAATTATCGAATACATTCTCTTGATATATAATTATGTATAATTAAATAATAAAAGCGCACGTTATATAATTAATCAATCATAATTCTACAGATTATTCTTTTTTAACTTCAAGTGACATAGAATGTAAAAAACTTACAAAATATGTTTGCCAATTATCACGCTGGCTATTTTTTATTTCAGAGCTTCTGTTATTTATTTTGATTTTCATAAATACCTCACACAAGAAATGTTCACATTGAGAGTAGAATTCCTCGTAGCGGTTATTTAAAACTACGAGTACCGAATATATCTACGCGGGTATGTCGCGCAGCTTTAAATATAGCCTTCGCTGAAATTGTCTCAAAGCATATAGTAGTGTTGTCCAACAATGAATTGCTGCTATTGGTCCGACGTGAGGAATTAAAAATAATCGGCTCCCAAAAAATATATCAAAAAATAAGATTGTATACATCACAAAATATATTTCAATCACAAATTTAATTTTAAAACGCATTTTTTATATTTTTGCGAATACAAATCGATAGAAATTCATAAAAACTGAGTGGCGCGATGCACCAATGACGTTGTAGATGCTGCGGAACGTTTGTTAAAATTTGATATACATTTTGTTATTACATAGATATATAAAATTTTAAAGAAATATATTACGTCTAATAATCCGTTACAGAATATGTGTAAAAGATTAGTCGCATAAAGAAATACTAAGATGTACAATCTGAAATCAATTTGTAGTTTTATTCGTCTTATTCGAAAAAATTAACTACATATTTTATTATATATATGTTGAAATAAATGATTTCATGTATTTCGTGAATGAGGATTAACATTAATCTTATCACTGTAGAAAAAAACTTTTTATTTACAGGAATTGAAGGACTCCCCTTTGTGTTTTTTAGTAGTAGGAGAATCATCTTGATTCTGTGTTCTTGATACTAACCTAGGAATTCGTTTAGCTTTTAAATAGGACATCGTTTCACTCGATGATCTAAAAATTAACAAAATATTTGATACATTAAAATATGACTGTTATATTTAATTATACGAAAAAAAAATAATTTATAAAAAAATTGCATATAATTCTTTTATATAGAATTAATAGTAATTCATAACATTTTGATTGGTATACGTTTTGGAAGAAAGCGTTTCTGGAAAATTTATCCATGGAGAATTGCAGTGAGTGGAAGTCGAATCAGGAAAACGGTTCATAACAGTTGGTGTATGGTCGTATTTTGGTAGTGCAAAAAATAAATATTTTATCAATTATATAAAAATTACTATAAAAGATATAATGTGTTATACCTCGTAGTTTTTTGTTCAGTCAAATTCATTTCCGTTGTATTACTCTCGGTCGAGTTAGAACTTAAACAAGGAATGATCTGGTAAGTTCTATTACTAATAAATTCATTAGACGATTCAGTATTTTCTGCCACAATCGACACAATGCGTGTTTCTGCCTCTACATTTGTAGACTTTCTCTTATTTTCCCCTTCCGGCTTTGCAGCTTTTGCGTCTGTCTGTGTTTCACTCTTCGGTTTTAATTTACCGTCTTGCGTGGGGAAATTAACAGTTGGCAAACTAATAGTTTTGTCTCCTTTGGTGTTATTCATTAATCTAATTAATAGTTTTGATAACTCTTCTCTTTTTCTTGTCACAATAATTTCCTCGAACCACATTTTCAAAGTTTTAATTGGCAAAGTATAATCTTTAATTGGATCCTAATAAAGGAAGACAAAAGTTCATAATTATATTAATAATATATGCATAATCAGAGAAATATAGAATAATTAAAAATGTTTTTTGTTTTTAATGTTGTATATACTCTTACCTTAAAAAAACTTTCGACATACTGTAATACATACAATCCACAATCAGTAAAATTTGATTGTTGGGGTACTTTCGGGCATGCTCCCTTAATCGTATCTTTTGAGAATGTCTTTTCTGCACCAAGTTTAGCAACATATTCGCAACTTAAATAATCCCTTAACGTAGCGACTACTCGTGCTCTACTGGCGCCAGCAAGCGAATCAAATATCAATATGCAGGGACTGTAAATAAAATTTCAAACACTCAAATATTCAATTCACGACAAATTGCATGAATGATACATTATTTATGTGTATGTATTATGCATATACCTACATTTTGACAATTTCCTTTTGCTGTTCCAGTTTAACCTGAGTTTGGATTGTATTTTCCTCTGGTTGTTCCGTCTCATCCTATATAAACAAAATATGTTAGTCTATGATCAACTATTTCAGAGTAGAAAAAATATAATATAATAAAAATATATAATAAAAATATAATAATAATATAATGAAAATATAATTAATAAAATTAATTTTACCTCTTCGTCGCTGTCCATTTCCATCTCATCATCATCGCCTTCAGCTTCATCCCTCTCAGATCCATCATCCGGCTGATCTATCGTTATCGTTGTAGGTACAGGAGTGATAGTTGTAGAACCAATTGTAACAGCTTTTGTTTTCAATTCTTTCAACTTTTTACTCTTTTTTACAATCTTTTGAACGTCATTTTCGATTGTTTTCTTAGCAGGCGTGGAAATTTTGCCAACTAATCCAGGAAAACAAATAATAGCCAAGAACCAATGTGCGCTACAAATAATTATATTATTTATAAAAGAAAATAGTATTTTTACTGCTTATGGCTCTTAGGTTCTTGCCATATTAAATTGTGACGTCAGAGGCGAGAAAGCACACGCAAAAAAATTCTTAGATGCCATTTTTAGATAAAAAAATATTTCGATAAAATACTATTTCAGATAGCTTTAGCATATTTTTAAAATATCTTTTTATTTCGAAATAGCATATAAAAATTTGTAGCGTTTTTTCGCCTCTGACGTCATAATTCTAACATGGTCGGCGAGGAGTCAGGAATCAAAAAATTTAGGATTACTTACTGCTCGTTGATAGGAATTATAATAAAATCTTTCTCAAATATATTGACATTCTTTGTCCATTTCTGTACTCTCGCGTGTCGTTTGGCAGCAGGCGTCATTGGCACAACGCTTTCAGCAGCTTGAGCATGTGGACTGGTCAAGCGTTTATAAAAGTACGAACTGAACACATGAGTCCTGTGTTGATCAGATTCTGATAATATTTCTAAAGTTAGATATTTTAAATAAAAATCTATAATCACGTCATTTAAAAACTGATCTTCCGCTAGGCATAAGTAATCTTCAGTGTTGATGGCTATTCCCCCTTTCGCAGGAGGTGGTGGATATACAGTTATTCTGTAAAAAAAAAGCAACATTTGTATTTAAAAATTTAACTGACATAAAAAAGAAGAAAAAAAATTAGATAAATAAAATTACAAAATATACTTTATCATATATATTGGCGCACACATGATTAAATATTAAATTATTAAAAAATTAAAAATTAATTGTTAATAACGAATATCAATCATTTGAATAAAATTCTTACGTTTGTATGTTGTCATTAACACCGACAGTATTTGGTACAGAGCTTTGATTCTGTTTTCGTGTAACAACAATATTTTGTGGTTGACGATTCTGTAAAGATTAAGTAAATATATAAATAAATATAATATATATATATATATATATATATATATAACAAATTAATTTAGTCAAATACATACATCCCTCGGCGATGCTCGTACAAGTATATCATTCGCCTCTTTAGGATTTAATTCATCTATTTTATTTCCACGTGCAAATAAACTGGTTAATTTGGGTTTCGAATCGTCCGGTAATTTATCTGATAATAATGTAATACGTCTATGTGTATGATCTACAAAACAATAAAGCAAAAAATATATTAATTATTTACTCGTTAAAAATCTTATATTATTTAAAATTTTTATGTATATTGCATACCCTTTCCAGTAGGATCATAATATGGTCCTTTTGGATCTTGCATTCCTAATAACTCACGTATCATAGCGCCTGAACTTGAAGATGTATAAAAAAATAATACCGGCATTGTCTTCCCAAAATGAATCAACAGCTTAACTATATCCTTATATTTCACGTCCAGAGTAACAAAACTTGTAGCTATAAAATATTGAAATATTTTAAAATATTTTTAAACGTTTACAAATGTCTTTTTGCAATGAGTAAAATAAACTTACCATCTTCTAATAAAGGTACGTTAAATCGTACACCAGTATGGGAAATCATTACATTTTCCCTAGGAATATATTTATAAGAACCTATTCTGACCGTTCGACACTCTATAGCAATCTGTTGTAATTGTTCATTATCTAACAAGCTCTGATTATCACATATTCCTGAAATTTTTTATCACTTCGTTATTATGTATGCTTATATTACTTTATAGAATCAATTAATGACTGAAGTATTCAATATTATTTATATTTTTTAATGAAACATTACCTGTACTACTTTGTTCATTATTTGCTACATAATCCTTATATGAATTAAAAACAGAAGTGCTTGTAATTACTGGTTCCTTTTCTAGAATGGTGTCCATATCTTCGATAAAAGTGTTACTTGCATTGTTTAATGGTGCATTATTATTAACGCTTTCAATTTTTTTAGTCCTATTTTCTTCTTCTTCATCAGATGATATTGTCAAACATTCTAAAAATAAATAATAAAATAAACATTAGTGTTGCACATATATTTCGGGTATCAAATACATTCTCATACCTGGCTCTTTATGAATAAGCTTTGGTCTTGCTCTACTCTTTGCCTTGAGTCGTTTAGATGTAGGACCATCTTGCTCCATTTTCTCCATTTTTGTGGCATTTCGTTCATTGTTTTTCTTATAGAACATCTGTAAAGAAATACAATTGTAATATATATCTACAGATGACACAAAAATATTGATGAAAAATATTACAGACAATAAATAGAAATATATGATATATTAAGATGATCGTTGTAAACTGCTGTCGATATGACCTGTAATGATATGACAATAATACAGAATATTTTTAATTCTAATATTATTAATTCTTCTATTCTCAAACACTTCTTAATGACTATGTGCTGAAATAAGAGCGCTTTAAACTTGTTACATTAAGAAATGCTATTGTTAATACACGAGTCTTAAATAATCTAAATTTGTTAGTCATTCATCAGTCACACAATCGATCATTATAACAGATGAGCAATTGCATAATAAGTATAATATCGGTCTTCTGGCACCGCAGTCATTATCCTTACATCGACAGACATCCCAGTCTCCTTCCGTTTTGCTATGGGTATTGACTTGACTTCCTCAGATAATTTTGTATTACAGCGTTCACATCGGTTGAAGTGGAGTGAACTGTAGCCGCAGTGTGGACAGACAGCAAACATTCCTTTGACCAAAATAGGCTCCTAGCAATAATACAGTATACTTCGTACTTAGAGCATACTTTGTTTTGAATAATGTGTTAAGTGTACTTCCTTAATTTATTACAAAATTCTTATGCATTGTAGCAATGTAACATTATCATACTTGTATTAAATATTATTATTAGCTATATAATATAGTGTCTATTTCACTTTATGGTTTCTATTAAATATAAATATATATATTTATATATAGTGTAATATCTATCTTTTTATATATCTCATTCATACAAATATATCAACTAAATATACATATAATATATATTCTTATCTATTATTATTATTATTATTATAACATTAAAACAAAGAAATTGGCATAGTTGTAAAAAAAATATCACAATAAATATAAATTACAAAAATATATGTTTTTATATATTAAATCAGACTGATACAAAACTCATTAAGTAAATAATTAGTTTTTATCGTGCAGTCCAATATTTAAGGCTTGTGTGTCCTCATTGCATGTATATTGAATTATAACATCAGAAATAATAAGTTTTATTCTTGCAAAATATATCAAAATAAATAAGTATTTTTGAATATTGTATTCAATAACATGGAATAGTAAAATACACTGAAACGTCTTTTTTAATTCGTGAATTAATAAATAGCTGTAAATCTCGGTCAATTATTGTAATAAAAGTTTCCAAAGCAAAAATACACTTTAAAATAATTGCTCAAGCTATTTATTAATTCATGAATCAAAATAAGTTTTCAATATATTTTATTAATCCATTATTATTAAACATAGTATTAAAAAATATTTATTTTGATATATCTTGCAAGAATAAAACTCATTTCTCATAATTTCTGACGTTATAATTCATATTATTTAACTATATATTGAATTGCACAAACACCAGTGTTTACAAACTCATTAGCTTAAATATACTCTCATTTAAATTATTCTAAAAAAATAAGTCAATTTATTATATTTCTCTGTTTTATGAATATTATTAACGTTTCAAAACTAATATTTTTTAAAAATATTTTTAAATTAAAAAAGAAGATTTTGTCATTTCAAATTTATTTGCAACATATGAAAAAATAGAATTATAAAATTAATATAATTTTTATGCCAATGTCTTTTTTTCTTCTAGACTTTTTATAATAAATTTGTGATCTTACCTCAGTGGATAGAGATGCATTACTGTTTTCATCTGAAGCACTAAAAATATTATCATTTTAGTATTCTAGTAATTGAACATAAAAAGATTAACATATAAAGCAAGATATCGTACTTGGTATTTTGGGATAAATTTTCAATTGTAGTGGAGGTTACAACTTCCTGAATAGAATTATTATGATCATCACTATGATCACTGCCATCAAAAGATGTAACTGATCCAACACCTTCTTCCACTATGTAATTTATACCCAGTGTGGGATCATCTACCAATGAAACTGTTGTTTTACCAGAGAATGTAATGCTTATCTAAAAAATATTTCATATAATACATGAGATAATTATAAAGATTTATTATAACTAAATACATTAATAACATAATTACTACTACACACATTGATAACTTCACAATTTATATACATCAAAATAACATGCAATTGAGAAAAAAAAATTTTAAACAAATTTTGTGATATAAAAAAATATTTCATATAATATATGAAATAAACACAAAAGATTCATTGTTATTAATACACTAATAAAAAAATATAATTACTGCCATATACATACCAACTTCAAAAGCCTTATAATACATAGATATCACACATATACATCAAAATAACAAATGTGATTTAAAAAAATAAAAAAAAATAAAAAACACTTTAAAATTTTTCTTTCTCTCTCTCACTCTCAATCCTGTGATAATATATTTATTTTAATAATCTAAAATCTCCTTCTGTTTCTTTCTTCCAGCTGCATAGCAATTTATCAATCACTCTATACTATTTTTCAAATATACATATCATCAACCCATAGACATACCTGACCCAAGACTGCACGTACCTGATCCAATAGGTCGTGTACAGTGCAGTCCTCGTTCGGTATTTCGAATGTGATTAATCTCTGTTCTCCCGTGGTTAACATCACTAACATTTTTGCTTCATTCCCTTGAATTTGATGTTGAACTATGGCAGTTGATGGATCATTAATAATCTTTTGTAGGTAAGCGACGCTCTCGCTTGAATTGTTCTCGTGTTCTGATCGTGGCGAAGACTGCTGCATTACGTGTACCTTTTCCTGCATGCATTCCAGAGACTCGACTTCCATACTAGTACTACTAACGTACATGCTATGTTCATCTGAGGAGGGGGACGAGGGAGAAGACGTTACCATGGATGATTGTTGTTGCACTTGTTGCTTCTGAGAAGAGATTAAAACTTGTTGCGTTCTTTGTTGTACAGAATTTGCGGTTGTCAAACGACGTGTGGAATTATTCGACGGACATTGAATTGGATGCTGAACAGTAGCATTAGGATTTTGCCGTTGTGCGTTATTTTGTTGAAACCTTAGTTTTTCGGTATGCTGTCTCTGTTGCGATTGCATTTGCTTGAATTTCGCTTGCTTAATATGCTCATTTAAATGCTCCATATCAGGAGGTTGTACCCTCGTCGGCGTTTTAGAGATTTCGGGAGGAACTATGGCTACGGGTCGTAAATGCGACGTATTCGGATTAGAAGCACGAATTGGCCTTACAGTCTGTCCTGATGAATTAACAGCTTTGTTGCAGGCAGGCATCACAGATTTGGGATTTCCTGTCGAATTTTGAATTCGATTTTCTGTCGAAATTCTTGCATTCACTCCATCTGGATTTTGAGTTGCCGTACCCACTTGTACGTTATTTGACAATTGTTGACTTTTATTCTGATGAGATTTGGCTAGTTTTTTATCTGTTTGTCCAGAATTTATATAAAGAGGTGGCTGAAAATGAAAGTATTTGTTAGATAATAAATATGAAAAAGTTAAATTAAAGTTTTGTTTAAAAATTATTCCAATACATAAACTTACTGATGTTGCAATGTTATTTTGTATGTTACTTTTAGTTATAACGGCAGTTAAATTTTTTTCTTGCAACGTTTGTTTCGTCGTTGTAGCAACATTTTGCATCTTTACCCACTGTACTTGTTGTCCTTCGTTTTTACATTCCGCCTTAGTACCTGGAAAACAAGATTTATGTTTATAATATGCAAAATAAATCTCAAAGAATTGTTGTATAAATAATTAATGTTATACATATATACTAAGATATATAACAAAACAGCTTCATAGACTTAACATTTTATAAAATATATTATTATAGCATAAATATACTTGATGATATTTACCTGTGTTATCTGTAATGTTCACAATATTTTCATTAACAAGATGTGCATTTACGGGATTAGATTTTAATATGGCCTGTGTTGTAGTTACATCGTTTGTTTTGATTATAAAAACATTTTGTCTGAAAAAATAAACACAATTACTATTATATAATATTTCACAAATATCACAATCTTATTCTAGTTATAACATGCAAATTATGTTAATTATATTAAATGTATATGTTAAAATATATAATATTAATATAAAAAAATGATTTTAATAACAACATATAATTGAATGTTATTTTATTGAAAAGAATCTTTTTTTTATTTGCATACTACTTATAATGAATGATTGATGAAGATAATGAGAAGAGTGCATTGAGATAAAAGCTTTTCAAAACGTTTTATTATTATTTGTATTTGGATATAAAAAAAGACACAACTTTATATTACTTATATAAATATTTGATAAAAGTTTATACAAATTATTTCATAAAAGTTCTTCTTTTAGTTTAGAAAAAAATTAGTATGTTTTCATTATTTTTTATAATTTTCATCATCATTAATTTAACATAGAGATTATCATTACTTTAACATGCTATTATTCTTTTTTTATACATATAGTTCTTATATATTATAATGGTTTCATATAATAATATATAAGGTTAAATAAAGCAAGAAATTAAGATTTTAGAATAAAAGCAAGATATTAGAATTAAATTAAAATGTTTAAAATTGGTACAAAAGATTGCTCATAGGCCACACATATTAAGAAAATGAATCGCATAAAACTACGCACAATATATTGTTCCAATATCATTTAAAAAGACATCCAATTTCCATATATATCACATATTAAATTTGATAATTGTATTATTTAATTTTTGAGATTAATATAAATTTATTATACAACACACATACATACAGGCATACAATACATTCATAATCAATGCATTAGTAGGCAGGCTCTTATGATAAAACTTTGGTAATATATTCTTTGAGGCACACGCGTACAAGAGACTTTGAAATCCCTTTATGTAAATCCTATTCTTTTCAACGAGAAAAAAATCATAACCAAATCTTTAAAAAAAATCGACAACTGGCAAACAGTACAAAAGTGTGGGTGTAGAATTTTAAACTCTAAATAAAATAAATGTTTGTAATAAAAGGAAAACAAATTTTATAACCAGAATTATTTAATAAACATTATTACGAGGCATTATGTTTTAGCCTATAAAAATACATTATATAGTAACATTTCATTATTATTATTATCACTATATACATATTTAAAGACATTTTATAAATGTAATTCATATATGGCATATAAAGCATACAAAAGACAGTGCAATAGAAGACTACTTTAAGAAGCATCTATTGTATCAATGTCTCTGTCGTGTTATGCCTGATATGTATATGTATTAATTCTAATATAAAAATCAATTTTTTCTCATATTGAATAATATTAATGTATGTAAAATATTATTCAAATCTTTTAATTGTGTTCTTTATACATATTCATAAAGTTATGCATATTAAGAACCAAAATAACATTTTTATGAAAATGTATGGCCCATATTGTATAAGAATTAAATATTTTAAAATCATTGATATATTTCTCAGAATGTAAACTAGTAACGCCATATCACACAACATCCTAAATTTATTTCTTCTAAGATAAGCACCATATTTAAAATTCTCAAATCATAAAATCGTGAAATATCAAGAGAGAAACTTAGAGAGAAACTGAATTATTTTACTATATTTGAGTACATTCAAAAAGTAATTGAAAATGCATGCCATATGAGTTACCCTTGCTCCAATCGTGTTGCAGCTATTTGATTCCCTAAATTAATAGTTTGCGGGGAGAATATTGCCTGCCTGTTTTGTGATGCAGCGGTATAAGTCACAAGCTGTTGTGAACCATTACCGCTGTTATTAACATCTTCAACAACTAACTGAACCCGTTGCCCGGTTACAGTGCATAGTCTCGGTACTTCCTCAAATGTAAAAGTACCACTGGCATTGGTCACAACATTAAAATATTGTGCCATATTATTCGACACTTAACCTCTGACAATTATGATCTTTTCTCAATTAATAAAGATCAAGATGGGATTGTCGCTAATACAGTGAGTTAGACCAATCCGTCACTATCATGTCTGCTAGAATTTGTGCAGTAAAACCTATGGAAAATAATTACGAATTATGTTCGACTTTCGCGGGTATATTTCGTATGATTTTAAATATAATTTCTTTAATATTTTTCTCACAAAAAGATTAGTAAATAATGAAAAAAAAATTATTGAGAAAGTATCGAAAATTAAATATAGAAATGTAAACATAAATCTAATAGTGTGTACTCAGCAATATGTAGAAAATTATACAGTGTTGTAATATAAACTTCAAATACATCACAAACTTTATTAAAATGCATATAGAAAATTGTATCTATAATATAAAATTATATATCTGCTTTGTAATTTAAATTTAACTGCATTTAATTATATTTAAGTAAGTATTTCATGTAATATGAATACACAAAATACATAGTATATTACATTTTTAAAACCTGCTTTTCTTTAAATAAAGCCTAAATGTCTTTAATGTCTAAAAATAAAATCTTTCATGGAAAATATAAATTTTTACATTTAACAAAACATTGTTCATCTTTTAAAGTAGTCTTCTCTATAGATATTTCCCTCAACAAATTTTAAGCACAAATTCCATTAATAACAAAAAAGTAGAATATATATTGTACTTATATTATTCTAGCATTCATCTAGATATTTTTTCCCATTATAAGTAAATTATTTTACTGTAATAAATTTTATTTTTGTACAACATGTGCTTCAAAGACTTTATATTATTATTGAAAAATAAATTAATATAAATATGATAATATTGTATATATGTGTTTTAATCTGGTTATGCAATGTGTTGATTTGTTCATCAAACATTTTGCAAATTATAACAGCATGCAATAGAAGATATATATGAAATAATTATGCAATAAAATTTAATACATTGTGAAAAAACTTTTTTGTGCAAAAATGCAATACAACTATAATGGACATGAATGTACAGCGCAGAACTTTTTAGATTGACAAATTGTACTTATATACAAAATCTCTGACTATTATAGCAATTATTAAGAATTAATCTGATAAATTTTAAAATAATCTGTATATTGTGTTAATTTATTCTTTTTAAAAAAGTTTTTCACAATTACTTATTATCAAATATACATATGCGTTGCAAGAAAAAATACATATATGGTATAAGAAATATGACAAATTATATCACAAGTTACGTTCCAATAAATTTTGGATAAAATACATATCTTGTGATAAGTAAAATGAAAAGAAAATGTACTATGTAAATATTTGTAATATTTGTGTCTTTCTAATAAAATTTATAATCAACAACTTAATCTCTGAAATAAAAACTAAGTTTTTAAGAAAAATAGCATCTACATTCAAATTAATATATTAACTATTAACAGATCAGTGTCTTATTAAAATAAATTTTAGTTAATACAAAAAGAAAAAGTTAATAGGTTGATCAAGTAATTAAAATAATCTGATGCAATTATATATAATGATTTGTTAATAAGTTTTGATATGCAACAATAAATCAATATTGATTTTTTATATTATGTTACATGTAATCATGACATAAAACTGAATAAATCTATGATAAAATATATAAATAATAGATTATATGTATATCTTTAGACCCTCAAACACACAAAAGATGTAAAGATATAAGAAACTGTTCTAGTCCATCATTGTCAAACTGTACTATATATATTGTTAAAAAATATATAATATTTAATATTGATAATATTTCAAAAGCTGGTCGCAAGTGTAATTAGAGCAAGATAATTAACTGACCAGACACTTGTCAGAGAAAGCTGTGCAACGAATTCTAACGCTCGACTCTAATCTTTCGTGGAAGTTAACACAAGATTTTATCCCGAGGTGCACCTCGTAGTAATAATGAAAAGCCAGGAGTTTCGATCGCCCGAATTGAATCCAAGCAAAGGGAACCCAAGTCCCAACCCCGCACCGATTCATAACCTAAAAAATCAACGGACAAAGACAGCCGCGTTTCTACCTTGCCTTCGCGTCACGTCACCAGGTTCGATCGATCGAAATTTCCAAGCGAGGACGCGAAGCGAATGCTAAATCGGCAGAAGAAGCGAGAAGTAGATGGACGATTTTACTCACGATTTTGGGCGAGGAATCAGTCGCGAGATCTTCCGTTACGAAGGACTCTCCTAACCTCGTTGCGTGGATCACCGGGGGGGATTAATCACGCCGTGGGGGCCGGTATACCGTCACGTTATCTCGCGGGCGAGGAACGCCGCGGCGACTCGAGATCACGGAGGAACACGTGGTTTTATTCCGCGCGTCCGCACGAGAGGCACGTAACGAACCACCCCGAGGCGATCTCTCTCTTTCTTCGTGCACGCGCGCTCGTACTATAACCGTTTCGATTATTCCAAAATAATCGTGGTGGTGCATGTAAAATTAGCAGGGATACTCACGATCGCCTGCGTTTTGCCAGTTTCGTGCAACACGTGAATCCGAGCTTTGACAAGCGTGACGACGCGACGTGTTGCGAGACTCTCGATTCGCTTCTCTCCGTTCTCGCTCTCACTTCGCTTTATGCGACGCGAGTAAATAACAACTGTATTTCGCCATTTTAGACGTTCCACTTGTATGTACGAGCGAATCGCGCTACGACCGCTGCGATTGACCAAGAAACGGACGGATGGACGAACCAGCGAGGCGCACGGGAGATCGCGCCACTGCGCAAATTCTCTTCTACGCCTGCGGACTTCCGGGACGCCGCTCGACCGCTAAATTTGAACTCGTTGAAACTGAATCAACCAAGTATTATTGATAGTTCCGAAATATTATTAAGAGTTGTAATATATAATTAATATATTATTTTTATTATTATATTTTATACTAAATACTATATATATATATATATTTATATAATATCGTATAACAGAGGATCATATAACAATGGATAATTTTTAATACCTATACAAATTCACATATAATTTTTACATGCACATAGAAAAATCAATTACACATCTCATTTAGAGAATATGCATCATACTGTCATATTTGATGAAGATATGAGTTTAATTATCTTTTATCTAAAATGGGATAATCATTATCTGCAAAAAAAGATCTGGATGGATTTTGATAAGAGAGATTGTACCTTCACACACACACACACACACACAAATGTAACTTCAAAATATATTTAGTTATATACTTATTCAATCAATATTCTGATTATTATCTGTAACTATTAAAAATTAATATTAAAATAAATACACAAATACATACTTTCTTATATATATTCTGAAGTATTTAAATTATTTTATGATATACATTATTCTTGTACATATTTTATTCAGAAATAGTGGAAATTTTAGAAAATTAATATTATATATGTATAAATATATTCTACTATATGCGATTAAATATAGCACCATAATTTATTTCCATATTTTTATTCATATTTTTTTACTGTCAGCATCTACTACATTACTATGAAATAGAGAAACTATTCTCTGTCTGCTATGTTGTAATGTATAAGATTCAAAGGGGAAAAATTAGAAACTAAAACAGGCAAATGGGTTTTCACACCGAAAATAGGCAACTGATTACGTTCATTGCTTTCAATTATAGTATAACAATAGGCGAGTTGATATTCACTTGTAATATCCGCAAAACTTTGAACTATCTGGGTGTTGCACATTTTCAAAGGATTTAATCTACAAGTAACGATCCTTGGTATATCAAGTTCTTGAAGAAATAACATGTCTGAAACATGAAGAAAGAAAACAAATATCGAATTTCCACAGCTGTTATTACTAAATCTATAATATATATGTGCAGAATAAATTTTCCTCACCATTTTTTGAACTAAATTCCTTGTGTCTCGCGATAAATAAATGAAAGAAAGCTTGACATACAGAATAAAATACAGCATGTGGTTTTGTATCATCATCGACATATTTCGAATATTCTTGCATACTGATATAACTATGTATCCATTTGACCAATTTGGACATTGTCACCTGCATTAATCTGAAAAAATGTTATAATGTTAGATATGCAAATTCAGCATACTATTGTTATAACTAATTACTGCAATAAATATATTACAATAATTACCCAGGAGAAATAAATGATGCGGTAGCAAACAAACTAGAAATGTAACAAACAGCTGATTGTCTTAAAACTGGTGCTACATTTGGATCAATTACTTTATGCCATAACCAATCTGTAAAAGTTTCCGCGACTGTGGCTTTGAAACTGCAAATGTAGAATGCGATATATTGCACATATTGACTGGCGTGCGTGGGTAATATTATTGTTTCGAATGCTCGGCGAATGTCAAAATATAACATTTTCAGGGATTCTATTTGTAGAACGCCATTTCTAAAACAGAACTCGTGCATGTATTTAAGAAACAATTCCATGCATGTGTCCATTGTATGCACAATTAAAGGGACAGTTTTTATTTTGTCTGAATCATTATTTACTGTTGTCAGATTGTCACCCTTAGTTTCATTGGTACAATCATTCATTACATCATCTTCCTCATCATTAGTTGCTTCTTTACGAGGTATATTGACATCTAACAGTGTCAGCCTAAAATAGAAATATTTATTTATCAACTAAATCTAAAGACTCATGTTTTTAACTATTACATATATATATTTACCTATTAATTATTAAAGATAGAATGTCTGATCTCAGCTGAGGTGCATAATTCAATATTTGTAATAAAGCATAGATATAAATTTCATGTGTATAAGTGCCATGTGCAATATATGGAAATTGTGATGCAAGAGATTGTAGTAAAACTTGGCTTGACCTGCAAAAAATTTATAATATACATAAACATAATAATACATACATAATAATAAAAAAAAATGTTTTGTTTTCATTTTTTGCATCTTACATTGGTACTACTTCAAAATTTTATGTAATATGTCATGTATATGATTTAGCCTTCCTATATCTGTATCTTTGAATTCTCCAGGCTTACGTTCTGCATTGTTATCTTCTACTGCAAAGAAATAAATATTGTAACATATATATGTATATATAAATATATGAATATTTTGGAAGTATATTAAATACAATTTTTACCTGATTTAAATAACTGAACTAAAGAATTTATTACAGTTTTTATATAGAGTGTTTGCATACACACTAAATCTTGTAAAAAGAGTTTATAAGTAGAAATGACTTCTGGTGATTTAGTTGTCCATTGGATTCGAAGAAGAATTTGAATAAACAATTCGTATTTAATATCTAATAAGGATATACATTGCCTTGCCTCAGATAAGAACTCTGCTAAATCACTATCCTAAGGACAAAAAGAGAATTCTAAATAAATTATCTTACATCATAATATGCAATTGATCAAGTCTTATATAAAGCATACGAGATTGTTCGTCATACATTAAGAGATTGTAAAAGATTATTTGCATTTTATAGATTTTTGATTATATTTACCTTTACAGCATCTTCTTTAAGTATATATATCAATTTTTCATATTCTTTAATTCCACTGCCTGCCTTAAAATTATATAATATACTTTTAATATCTTTAGGGAGTTTAAGATAGTGTATCCTGTTGGACTGTTTATTGAGTTGTGATCTAATTCCAGTAGCTTTTATTATAGACGACACACTGCTAACTCTTGAAGATACCACAGACATCTGTCAACCGTAAATAATCATTAAATTCTCTTGGTTATTTAATGACAAATCCATCTTGCAAAGTGCTGCTGCTTTAAATTAATAGCAATTGAGAAGTTTGGACTCCTCTTTCTTTAATATAAATAGAATATTGCGTTATAACATGCAAAATGCCGAACGTAACATATGCAGAAACAAGGTTATACACATGTTAAAATGAATTACACTTTAATTATTCACCTTGATAAATATATAGTTTTTACTCTATATAATATTTACAATTTCGACGATCGCTGTGTATATCTGTTTTATATTTTAAACACGTATTATTTCACCATCAATGTACAATTAAAGTTTCCACGCGGCCACATGTTCTTACAAAGTACAGGATATTCGCGGATTTGCGTAAAAATATAGATCGTCTCACACACATTTATATAATAAAGAAGGGAATCAACATCGGCATTTCGTATCGCGACGTATCTAGATATTCATGTATCATGACTATTCGTTCTGATTCGTTCACGATTGCATGAGATGGTAGAGATCTCTACCAATCAGTCGTAAATTACGGAATCTTATTTTTTTACATTTTGATCATAAATGTCAAACAGAGAGAAACCTGAGAGCAGTCATCGCGATTCAATGGACGCGTGTACTAATGCGGTTTTTAATTTGATTCTTATCTGAATAGTTCGGACATGAACCGTATCACGGAATCGAACCATTTACCCTGCTTTTTACCGAGTTTCACGACGTAGTTCACGTCTACTTTCTCAGGGAGCGCATTAGTACACGCGTCCACTGAATTGCGGTAGTCGCTCTCAGGTTTCAAATAAAGTCTCTGATGTCAAACAATTTCTTATTGTGCAATTTCTAAATTACATTCAATGTAATTGCTATGCAGCTACATATTTTTATAATTTTTTTCTATTTTATGCATATGTTATTGTAAAAGAAGTATATTATTGATAAATCAATTTTTTCAAGGAAGTATATATATATATATCCTCGGGATAATTTTTTAATTTTTTTTTATTAAAATTATAAAATCATTTTATTAGATTATACTAAGGATCGAAGTAAAAGGGTATATCATTTTGTTGCTCCAATAACGTGGCTAATGCCAGTTCTATGTTTTCTGGCAGATGGTCTAGAAGCATACGTGGCATCACTGATAATTTCGTAAATTCTTCTGCTTGCGCCCATCGCATCTCGTATTTCCTTTCTTTCGCGAGCTGTTTCTTGCTATAATATACGAATATAAATATAATATATAAAAATATAAATATAAATATAAATTATCAATATTATATAAAATCTTGGAAAACTTTTTCCTTCGATTAATTTTCATTAAAAACATTTGCATCTACACTTAAAATATATTTTTTAGAGAATTCTATCTAAAGTATATACATCAATATATCTAAAAAATATATATATTATTTTTGTATAATTATATAGATATTGATGTACACACACACACACATATATATATATATATATATATATATATATATATATATGCATATACTTTAGATGAAATTCCTTGTAAAAAATCATTATTCAAATAACAAAATAATAAATAAGAGCAATGCACCTCTTTCTCTCCGTTTTTTCTAGCTTGCATCTTGTTATATGAAGAATACGGCCAGCATTAAACAATTGTTCTTTCGAATATCTTCTTTTCGTTATGTCACGTTCTATAATTTTATTATCCTGCAAAAAAATAGATGCAACATACTCGTAAATTCACATATGCATACGAAATGTAGTATTTATATATAATTTCTGAATTTTTATAAATATATTTTTGTCTAACCGCGTCACTAGACTTGGCAAGTAAAGGTGATTGGCCCGGAATTGTGCTAATTATATTATAGTTGGTCCACGTTTTACTCAAATCATTCTCAGGAACTCCAAACAAAGCGTATCCAAATCCATTCAGAACCACTCTGTACTAAAGATAAAATATTTTTTTGTATTAGAATAGAGTTTAATTTTATCTGGATATATTCCAAATTTTTGAGAATTACGTATTCCATTAAAATACCTTAGGTAATCGACAAGCCCGAAGAGTTGTCAATAATGAAGTCCTTAAATTTTCTATACTGTCCACGCTGAGTCTCATTACAAGATCATCACCGAGTCCAATGGTCAACGCAAACTCTTCCGTGATCCTGGCAGCATCTCTGCTAAGTAGCCCAGCTTTTCGGTAGATTAAATTAAAGATTATTAATTAAGTTAATGTTTGCGAAATTAACAAAATTAGCAATTTTAATAATTATATTTTTAATAAGTAGAGTTATCGTATAACATTAATTATATAAACAAGCAATTACCAGGCGTAGCAAAAGCATAGACTCTCAAATCCGGATAACGGGGACGTATCAATAATCCCAAAAGAATCGCTAAACCGGCTCCTAAACTATGACCTATAAAAAATAATGCGCATTATTTCATTACGAAATTTTAACTTTATTAAAAGTATGAACATATTTACCTGTGATTGTTAGATTGTAATTGGGATATGTGGCAAACGCTCTTTCCAGAACTTTATAGTTTTCCAATTGCTTCATGATTACTTTCACTCCTATTATCATGCCTTTATGTGCCTATAAATTTTCCTTCGATTTAGAATTTAGGATCGAATTACTTTCATGTATCTGTGCGAAGAATAGAGCAATTAAACTAACCGTGCTATCTGGAGGAACGCCAGGACATTCGAATGTATCGGACGCAGCTGCAATATCAGTGATTAAATCTCGCAAGGATAACGATCCTCGTATAGTTATGACGATACTAGCAGTTTTGTGATCCGCAATTACGCAGAACGGTATCTACAAGATTTCAAAGATTAATACTAAAAAACGTCAGACACAGGAGCGTAGAAAGAGTTTAAGAGCAATATACCAACTTCGCATAAATGATTCTTTAGAGAAGCGAATAAAATATCCTCCTCGGGCAGCTTCGATAGATATTTAATGCCAGAAAGATAACAGAGCACAATTATTAATCATCTAGAATAATGTTACGCTTTCGTCTAAAAAAATATATACATATATATATATTTTTTTAATATTATAAAATTAATTTTCATATTATTATAAAATAATTATTATATATATGTATATATAACTATATACATTATCTCATAGTAGTAATTAACATAATTACTATTTATAATTACACATATATATATATATATATATATATGAAATAAATATTTTATATTATAATTGATTATAATAAAATCATATAATTTTTTATATTATATTCTTTTACCGGAAACAAGCGCAGCACGTCATGCCCCGTATTAAACGAAAACATCCAGTACATAGATGCTGATATATTACAAAGAGCCAGCCGTAAGAAGCGATCGATAATTGCAGGTAGTGATGAGCAGCTTCCAAGGACATCCAACTAGGTGTGTCCGAAAAGATCGCGCTGCTGTCTAAAAAAATATAGGCAGCAAATATTTGATAATCAACAAATATTGACATTTGTGATATATATGTCATATTCTTTCTGATGTAAATAACGTACCTGAAAGTATATTTTGGGCGCGTGATTGGTTTAACTTTCGCAATTCATGAGTTTCTCGTTTCTGTCGGACTCTCAGTAAGATGCATCCCGCTATTACGTCCGAAGGGACCAAATTGGTACCGCGGAATAATGCACTTAAAAGACCTACGAAAATATTTCTATTAGCACAAAATTTAAAAATATCAAGAAATTATATTTAAAAAATAGATAAACTGTTCTCTCTCTGTTTCCTCTCTCTTCTCTCCTCTCTCTCTCTCTCTCTCTCTCTCTCTCTCTCTCTCTAATTTCTCTTATAATTACAGACATTAATTTAAGATGTGCAGATTAATTATCAATAACTATCAGCGCAATCCTTCAATATTTAAATGCTTTCGTAACTTTACTGCGAATTAAAATTCATTTCCTCTTACATATCGAGGTAATTGCGTATGTTACGAAGTGATCGCGTATCGCTATCTTTAAAAGAGCGATGGATGAGAGAGCGATGCGCGTCGAGAAGAGAATCCCACCGGCGCCCAAACTAGAACAGAGATTAGCGATTTGATTTATCGTCGAGCATCCCGGACGACTCTTTTGCGCTCCGGGTTTCGCGATTTGGCCCGCGTTCCAGTTCCGGCATGCGGCAGGACCTCTTCGTAGGTCAGCCGTACCTATGTCTCACCAGCGACATGTTGAAAGGTCTCGCTCGCGCTCTCGTCCCTTGCGCATCCACCACAGGAATTTGAATCTGCGTAGCCAGATGCGCGAGATCTTGCCGTGCTCCACGGAACTCTCCAACTGTCGTCTCTCCAGGGAACCGATCGGGTCGAACACCAGAGCGAGACCGAAAATGCTGAGACCGATCAGGATCCAGTCGAAGAACACCAGGGCTTCAACGACGGTAATGGAATAGGATGCATGATTGCATTCTACGCTTTGTCCGAAAATCCACATGGTGCCTAGGACATTCCATCCGATTTCCGGTAGCAGCATAGATATCCTGAATTAAATTTAAAAAATGTTTTTTTTTTTTTACATTGAAATTGTTTTATATTAGTGACAATTAGTAGATGTTTATAATATTGCAATAATATAAATTAAGATTGATATATTCTAATCGATCGTATAATTAGAAGCAAAATAATTATATTGGCAATATATTGTATGTATGTATATAGATATATTTAGAGAGAAAAAGAGAATTTATGTACATATTAAACTGCTGTACTTTGCATATTTTATAATTTACATATATTTATACATATTTGCATGTTATTGGTACTGTAGTTTGTTTCATGAGAAAATTGCATCTTTACATAACATAGCAAAATAATAGAAAATTGCTCGTAACAATTTGAATTTTTTTTCAATGTCTGTTTATACACAGGATGCATTTTTTGCTTTTCTTTGTGCAATCAGATTTGTATTCTATGTAAATTCGATTATAATTTTTGTGTAATTAGTGATGAAAAATAAAAAAATTTTAACAAATATACGTTCGAGAGAAAAAATATATGAGAAAATTATTCATTTTCGACCAAATTAACATTTAATAAAATTTATAAATTTAGTTATAAGAATATATAAATTACGATAAACAAAATGGCAACTTCTATTTTCTGATAAAAAAAATCGAACATTTGCTGTTAAAAAAATAATGCGACAAAAGTATATAAAATTTCTTTTATGTGCACCTTTATATGAAGGTGGCTTAGAAAGCTGGCTGACGTGACGCTAGTTTATTTATTGCTTACTTGATTATTAGAAGCGGTTCGACGTATCGTCGGGCAGCGTATCCATGATAGTCCCTCTCGCGCTATGCCTAATGATAACGAGTATCAAGAGCGTGACGATGCTGAGCATGACCGCTTCGCCGAGAAGATACACACGCGCACTAATTCACCTCCCAACCGACAATTCCACGTATCGTCGTAATACCTTACGCAGGCGATCCCTATAAGAATCAACCTGTAAAACGCATAGTCGATTACGAGAAACAAACTAA